CGAGAGACGGGAGAAGAAGGGGGGAAAAGTTCGGAGCTGACTGACCTTCAGCATAATCATCCGGGTAGGCAATAGCCGCCAGCGCCCCCTCAGGCTCATCAGCCGGAATCGGCGTCACATCATCCCACTCCGGGTCCTGGGCATAAGTCCCCATCTTCTCCCCATAAAGTTCGCTCTTTAACGCCGCCATCTCCTTCCTCCTCTGCCTATCTTCTTCGACTTCCTCCGGCGTGACGTCCTCGTGGGCAGCAGAATCGGAAGAGCCGGGGCGTGTCAACCGCAGGCCGGCGAGCTCGCGGCGCTGCACGAACCGGCTATGCAGGGCCTCGAGCGCAGCTAAGCGGGCCTGCTGGAGGGACCGCCGGTCAAAGTCCTCGGGGGAGAGCTCGCCGACGTCGCGCCCGTGGCGGTCGCGGCCCCAGGCGTGGTGTTGTTTCCGGGCGCGCGAGAGGCGGCGCACGGGGAGGGACTCCTTGCCGACCTGCTTCCAGAACTCGCGGTCGGACTTGTGGGAGAGGAGGACCTCCTTGGAGACGATGAGCGGGAGGAAGAAGGCGTTGGCCCAGGTCTGGCGCTCGGTCGGGGTGAGGCCGTGCAGGCCGACTTCCTCGCGGCGTTTCTCGCAGGGGTTGGTCTGGTAGTAGCGTTGGGCTGTCCGCTCGTTGGCCGTCTTGGGAGGTGGTGCTTCGGGCTCTTTGGCTGTGGAAAGAGTTAGAAGGAAAAGAAAGGAAAAGCTCAGAAGTAGACAGAATAGAACAGAGCAAGAGAGAAGAGACTCGGGGTGAGTGGAAAGGGACCGAGGGCAATGATAACAGGGGATGAAGAGCGTTGGGGGCCGGGTTATCGGCTAGGGAGGTGTCATACACCAACCGACAGAATGGGGGGCTCTCTACAGAACAATGGGGTAAGAACTTACTCTTACTGGCAGCTTCTTTTGCTTTGGAGCTTACTTTGGCCTTTGGGGGCATTTCTGCGGGCTAGACTTGCCGAAGAGAAAGATCGATGGAGGTGGGATAGGAGCTGAAAAAGGTGATGGCGGGGAGCTTTGGGCTTTGGTGGTGAAGGACCCCGCGAAAATCATACAAAAAGGTACGTATCTACGGGTAGTGCCCCACCTGCACACCCCCCGGGGGGGTTCGGATCAGGGAGCCCGGACCACCAAGCGGACCACCAAGCGGACCCCGGAATTCGTCTCCTTGGCTCCCTAGGACTTGTAGAACAATGTATTCGTGGGTGGAAGTGAAGAGAACAATACATCCTCATATGCACTAAGGTAGAGGCCAATTACCCGATTATAGACCTTCGTTTCCTCCTTGCCTTACAGGACGCCACTCATCTTCCTCAATGTATCCCTTGTCCTCATCAGAGCTGCAATGCTACGTGACTACGTCTTGGTAAGCACGTTGGTTGGCGAGTAATACCTCTATACCTTAGTCCAAGGCAAAGCCAGTTGAGTAATAACGGAATAGCAAGTAGAGTGCAGATGAGTGCTGCATGTTTTGCAATGCAATGCATCCATCTAATAAACACTAAAAAGTACGGAGGTAGTGATCAGCTAGTGTCCGAGGCAAATAAATAAGGTATGTAGTGATACAGTATCCCAGCCTGCCGAGAGGCCGTTGTCCTTCTTGCCCATGCGTATGTCAGGGCATTTTCCTAAACCCCCCCTTTCCCCTCCCTTTGCTCTTGGTTTTCCCTCTTCCGGTCCGTGGTGCAAAGAAAAAAGAAACCCGTAAAGAGGCAAGCTGGGCAAAAAAAAAAAAAAAAAAAAAAAAATCGAAAAGCAAAGAAAAGAAAATACACAAAAATAAAAGATAATAGAGGAAGAAGAAAAAAAGAGCTAGAGGGAAAAGAAGAAGAAGCAAAGAGAACCCACCTGGTTCTCGTTGGGGGCAAAGGTCGAAGAAACCCGGCCCAAGGCATCATGCTCCTCATCTCCCTCATCTCCTCACCTCCTCATCCGCTCATCCGTACATCCCACGCCACTCGCCTGTAAGCATCGCCATTAGGTCCGCGGGAGAAAGCCATGCCATCACTCATTCTCAACCCTCCAAAACTTCCAGCCCCCCCTCTCGCCCGTGCTGCCGTGTACGCCCACTAGCCGCTCCACGCCCTCGTTGCCCTCGGCATTGAGGAACTTCTCCAGGTCAATTTCCATGCCGCCGGCGTGATCCTCGTCCATGCCGTTCTTGAGCACAGCCGGCCACAGCACGCCGACGCCATCCCCCCCGAGCGTCATCTCAAATGTCCGGTACCCTTCCTCCTGGAGCTGGCCGTACAAGCGAACCAACTTGGCAGGGCCGATGCCCGGCCGGAGAAGCGTGATGGAGCACCCGCCGCCTCCGGCCCCCGTGAGCTTGGTCCAACCGATGCCCTCGTGGTCCACCAGCTCGCGGATGCGCTCCAGGCGCGGGTGCGACACGCCCAACGACACCAGCAAGCCGTGATTGATAGTCATGAGCTCGCCAATCTGGCGCAGGTTGTCCTCGTCCTCGGCATCAAAGTCGTCGCCCAGGAGCGTGTCCGCCGTTCCCGTGACCCGGTCAATGGCATCCAGGATGCTGCCCACGAGGTTCGGGTGCGTGTCGCGCAGCCGGGCCACTTTGGCCACTTCGTTCGCCGTCGACTTGGCCTGCATGGTATCGATGAGGAGCAGCGGGAGCTCCGGGAAATCCCACAGCGGTCGCACCGTCGGGGGCTTGGTGTAATCGGTGCGCTGAAACACCACGGCTTTGCCTTGCGTCGCGACGGTGTTGTCGACACCCGAGGGGTTGCCGTGGATGCACATTTCGTACACAAAGGCCCAGCGGTTGATGCGTTCGAGCTGCAGGAGGGCCTCCTCCGCAGGCTGGTCCGGGTGGGGGCCCGACAGCGTCCGCAGCTGCAGGAGCAGGGCGGCGGCCACGCACACCGCGATGGACGCACTGCTTCCGAGTCCAGCCCCGATAGGGATGGTAGATCGTAGCGTGTACAGGCAGCCCGGGAATGACTGGCTCCCGAGAGACAGGAACAGATAGAGGAAGCCAAGAGCGGCATTCTGGTGCACCTTGCGCGCCTCTCCCTGCTTGTGGGGTGATATGGTGGCGAGATAGGGCTGGAGGGCGGCGACGAGTTCGTCATCCAGCCCGGTCACGAGGCTGTAGTAGTATTTCTTCTTGGCCGGGCTGTGAAACAGCTCCCATGGCAGATCGTCGATGTTCCACGTGTGCTCGAGGCCGATGTCGGGGAAGCGGAGAGATATGGTCCTTCGAGACTTGGAGAGAGTGGTTACGTGTAGGTACGAGCGCATGGATATGGCAGCAGCAATCGCAGCCTGTAACGCGGTGTCAGTTGAGTCTTGTAAGGGAGCGGTACACAAGGACAATCGTACGGCCCTAGTAGGGGGAGAAAAAGAAAGAAAAGAAAAGGAAAAAAAGGGAAAAGGCGGGCAAGGAGGGGTAAAAGGTAGAGACGAGTCGGGTAGAGATTGCTCACCTTTCCATGGACAACCGCATGCTCCCCGAAGACAATGACCTTGCCCGGCGCAGAAACCATAAAGGTCGGGGCCATTGGGCTTGATGCCTTACGTTGAGCCTTCAGTCGATGGGCAAGCTGGGGGTTTCCATTCACATAGGCTGGGCCATTATTGCCATTAACAACGTTGCCGTTGCCATGAACGCCATGAACGCCATTAGCGTTGCTGCTGCCTCCCGAGCTGCCGTTGACCCCGTCCGCCATGTTCCTCATGTCCGATTCGCACCCATGCATGGATTCTCGCTGCTATATTGTCTTTCTCCACGGGTCAGGTTTGCCTAGTTATCGTGGATGGTTCTGATGCGTCGATCGGGCTGTCCTAGGCTGCGTCGCACGGGAAGTGATGGGTAGAAATAAAGGCAGCGAGTGGAATATGCGCGCAGAGGCTTTAAAGGATGATATGCACTCTCAGAGATAGTACGTTGAGGTACTCTGAGAGTAACGGACGTTAATATCAGTTGATGGAAGAGTGGGAGAAGAAAGGAAGAAAAAGAGGTAGAGAAGGAAAAAATGGAGGGATGAGAATGAGAAAACGTGAAAGAGCTGTTGGGATAGAGTAAAGGGGAAAGAGAGAAAGAACGACCGCGTGGTTGGTTTCTTTAAGCAATATCTGGGTATGATAGGAAGGAACGGAACTTTTTGGGAAGGGGGAAGGAAGTGAGGTAATGTGTATGGAAGGTATGCAGGTAATGGACGGGTAGCCATGGCAGTGGTACACGGCTACCCAGTGGTACGCGGTGGGAGGGGATGGGATAGGTAATACAAAGAATTTCATTAGGTGGGGGGGCTCACTATCGCAGGAGGGCTAGAAGGGGTACTGAATGTTGATAGGGAGGTACCTACATACATGTACTTCTAGAAAGATGGACTAATTAAGGGGCAAGAGCCTAAAGCCCGTCCATCACTTGATGAGAAGCCCACCTACCTTAGCTTATGCCGGATTGGGTACACGGTGGAAAATCTAAATGGCATCAGCTGACTCGGTCAAATCTGCCTGTTCTCCGTTCGGCGGGATACACCGCATCCGTAAATTTGGCTGCTATCTTGCCTACAGCCATGCTTGCATGCTGAGTTTCCGTTGTGTTTTGGTCCATCGAGTACGCAGTAATGACGGGGATACGGAGTACGAGTACAAATGACAAAGGACGAGGGACGAAGGACGAAGAACAAACAAACCGGCTCTCTTCTTACCGAGACATATCATGAGACCTGCCACACCATAAGATGCCGATAATTAAGGTCCCTACCATATTCCAAGTCCCGACTGAGTACCTTATCCATAGGATATCTACAGAGTACAATGTATAGACGTCAGTCTTCTCCCTGAACCGAGTTTGAGGGTCTTCCAAGGTTCCAAAGCCGAATCCCAGCAGAATGGATGAACGGACGAATCGGGTGGTGACAGGACCGGCAAACACCGAAACTACAGGGGTACAGCGTCGTTTTCCACGAGACTGTCGGTCCGCGGTCTGGGTGACCTACGCTACCACCTTTATCCGTAAGCTACCTAAGGTACCTATACCGTCCTTGGTAGTTGGTCAGCAGGACGGACTGTTTTGTTCGGCTCACCACCGCAAGGGTAATTCCCGTACAACTTCACGCTCAGTCATGTTCAGGCTGATATAATCTGTCTTGAATGGGATTGAATTAGTCTCGAGACATGTAAGTATGGTCTTTTGCTCAAGCCGGGACAAGATAACCAACACTCCTGTTTTTAGCAGGTTATTTTAAAGACGTTTGGACACTTGGTGTGAGGAGACAGCGTCCTCTCGTCCTCGAGATGTTTAGGGCGTATATGGATCTCAGAGTAAGAACAGCAAAGACGCCAGGCAGGCAACTGTAAGCAAGCAAAATCATCAACTTTTCATGGTATCATCCCTGGTAGCGCCGCGGATTGGTCCCGTATTCCCTAACCCCCGGCCATGAATGATGTCTAGGGTGTCCTGCCGCCCCCCGCCCCCTTCCTCTGCCCACTTAGCTACTGTTCCTCGAGCCGCTCCCTATTTACGCCCACTTGGAAAAGTCAACCGACTCGACGAGAGAATCAAGTCCGTTCGCAGGTGCTGCGTCTGCATCGTGCATCGTCGTCATCGTCGACGAGAGCAACGAGTTGCGCTGCGACACCTGCTCGCTCGTTCCCGTGAAGAATGTCGCCACCGATGACCGCCGGAGACTGCTGCCGAAACTATCGCGCACGCTGCTCCCCGGCCTGGACGACTCGGGCGCCGCTTGCGAGTGTGATGCCGCTCCGAGGATCCCTCCATGAGCCCCGAAAGCGGCCGCTGGCGATGACGGTGATGCGCTGCTGTTCAGGTGCCCGTGGCCGCCCAGTGCCGCCACTCCTTCCTGTGGCACCATACCGTTCGCCACCCTGGGCCCGTACTTCTCGCGCAGTCGTCGAATCTCGCGAAGTCGGTTGCGCCATGAGCTCACATTATCCGCCCCTCCTCGGTTGCTCCAGACGTGAGAGAAGACCGAGGCATTGAGGGCGAGAAGCCGCGTGGAGCTGGGGAGCGCCTTCAGAGATACCATCTTGGTTTCGGACGCCGGAGAAATGACCGGGAAGCCCGGCTTGCTCAGGAGCTGGACCTTGTAGAAAGGCATCCGCTTTTCCTTGCCCGGCGGAGGCGCTTCGCGGCTCGCCACGAACGACGCTCGCGACTCGGGCGTGATCACAATGTTGACGTAATTAAAATCGCTCGGGAACGTATCAAACTTGAACGGCAGGCCCGAATCGTTGAAGATGATGTTGACAAAGTCGTTCCCGATGTGCCTCTTCTTGTGGATGCACTGCGGATCCGTCTCCAGCCTCGTCGGCATCTGCGTCGTCACGTGGAACACCATCTCCGTTACCTTGTCGCGCCAGCAGAATGTGTACTGCCCATCAACGTCCGACGTCTTGTCCAGTCCCTGCGTATTGAACTTGGCATCCTTGAGTTCCGTGAGCGTGCCCAGGCCTTCCAGAAATGCCAGGTAATCGCTGCTTCCTGACACGTTGGCCAAGATCTCGGCTTCCTCCGTCTGGCCCTCCCCGACGTAGATCACGCCGACTTTGTGCCCATCCACCGTGGCGAGCCGGTCGAATACCCGGAGCGACCGTTGAACGGCATCGTCGTCGGGCAAGGGCACGGGCCGGAGCGCTTCGAACGTCTGGGGTATGGTCGTCATCAGTTGCACCATCAAGTGACTCGGGAGCACACTCTGATTTTGCCCAACATCTCTTGTCGCGTCCGGCGTGTTCTGGATCTGGTGAGCCGGGGGAGGTCGGAAGTTCTCCCGGATGATGTAGGACGACGTCCCTGACGGTTGCCGCTTGGTGATCTGCGCCCATCCCGTCGCCGTGGCTTGCTCGATCGCGACGATGCTGTTCCCCATCAACCACCTCCGAGTCTGGATGTCGCCAAACCGCTCCTTCGTGAATAGCGGGTCGGGACAGGATTCGCCCGCGTCGGCATAGGTCACACGCTGCATGAAGTCAATCGTCACCATAGCCTGCTCTTCTGCGCTGGGCATGGCGTCCACCTCGGTAAAGAGGTTCTTGGCGATCCAGCCGACATGGTTGGCACGATCCGGGAGTTTCAGAGCTAGGAACCAAAACGTGATGACGTGATGTGCCAGCGCATAAACATATTGCGGAAGGTCGTCCGTGGCACTTGGGTGGACGCCATCTGCGGCGTTCGGCGGCGTTAGGCCCGGCGTCGGCATGGGTGTTGTTGTTGCCGTCGGTGTCTCGCCGGCCCTTTGCGACTGCGTCTTGTCGCGCACGTACTGGAGGTACCTCATGCAGATACCAAAGACAATGCGGTACTCGTCTTCTCGGAAATTCACGTAGAGATTGTGCAGCCTGCTAAGGCCCGCCAGGAACTCGAGGATGTGCATGGCAACGTGGGGTTGCGTAATGATCTGGCTCATCTTCTGGAGCATCTGAACGAGGCACTTGCTCGTCGAGAGCGGCAGCTCGTGGCAGCAGATGGTCAACGCATGAATGCAGTACTTGGCGCACCTCTCCCAGGTCGATATCCCGTGCACAAAAGCACGGACAATCTCATCCTCTTGATCTTTCTGGAAATGCTCGTGGTAGCTCAAGATCATGGTCAGGCTGTGGAACAGGCAGATGGCCACGTCGGCGCGCCGTAATCCGGTGGCAATCGGCGCTTCCTGGAACGCGTTCAGGCGTATCTGCTCGCATAGAAGCCGGCGGAGGTCTTGCACCTGGGAAAGCGCCCCTCGGAAAAATGCATGATTGCTTAGTTGCGACGGGAGGTACACCAACACCATGCTGTAGACCTCCCAGTTCGCGCCGTGCTCGAAAATATGTATGACACTCTCGAGCCATGCTGCCACGTTGAGCGCTACTACCTGAGTCACGGGCTTCCCTGTGTCCGAAGCCTCGTCCGAGTTGGAAAGAAAGCGGTCTACAGGTGCAGAGTGCGACACCAAGACCGTACTAGCAATGCTGGAAGGGGGTTCCGGCAGGGCGCCCGAATCGGACAGGAGCCAGAGCGGCTTGTACGTCGGAGCAGGCTGTTTGTTGCCGCTAGCAGAGCGCAAAGCCTGTGTTCGGTCATGCGGACCAGCGTGGCTGAACGAGACGGCTCGTGATGATCGTGAAGGCGCCCCGTAGTCGGCCCTCGATGACCGGTTCGCCTGGCTGGCATCGCCGTTTTGTTTTCGCGCCATTGCGGCTTCGGTCCGGTGAAGACAGCTTGCGAGCCCGTCACATTCCGTATCCAGGGTGAGGAAGACGCACCCCGTCCAGTCGGCCCGAAGCCGGAAGAGAAGCTCCATCGCCAGGATTCGAGCGCTCGTCTTGCAGTGCGGTGCCCTGGCCACGTTAACCAGCACTTCGAAAAGTCGGCCACCCTTGACACCATCCGTATTCATGCAGCGCATGAAGAGCTTAACGTAACCTTTGGTCACGACGACGGATATTGTTTTCTCCGGATCGGGCGAGAGTCGATCCCCGTCGGGCGACGGCGCGGCAGCTATGGTTGATGGGTGTCCTGCCATGGGCACGGGCGAAACGAAACGGTCGTTCGCCACAACAGCTTCCAGAGTACAAATGATGTAGTTGAACAGTTCCAGGCCGGCGGCAACGGCAACGTCGACCGTAAGCGATACGAGCGCCTCCAAGATGGAAATATCGGTTTCCTCCGCGATCCCGCTTAGTGTGTCCTTGATGAGTCTCGGTACGCACTCCTCGCCCATGTCCTCGCCGACGAGTTCCATCATCTCATAAGCTTCCGTGATTAACTCCAGGGCGAGCAGTCGGATTTCCGAGCTTCGTCTCCGGTTGAAGAAGAAGCTTTGGCGTACCAAGGCAACGTGCTCCTCCCATTCGGGATCTGATGGGCAGCAGCACCTGAACTCCTGGAAATAAGCGAGGACGACGCGAACGGTGGAATCGGGTAGCAGCGTGTGCATGTCCTTCAGAAAGTCGATAACCACTTGGCGCGGAACAAATTCGGCCGTCTTATTCGTCATCAACTGCTCGAGCCGAGCGACGAGACGCAGCAGCTCACGTCTGATGGCGTCATCCGGTTGATCCGAATCGAAAGAGGTTGTCGAAATCGACATGGCATCTGCATCGACCAAAATGAAACCTGCGGCGGCAGAAGGGGGAGTCTTCTGGAAACAGTCGGCCGCGACGGCCAGCACGGCATTCCAGTCTTCCTCGACGATCAAGGGATGGAGTGTGCCGTCGCCCTTATCAAAAAGCGAGTTGATGAGTTTTAGGACGGCGCAGTGCACGCGACCCGAGGGAGTGCTCCGAACGGCGGCAGCTAATGCATCGACCAGGGGCGCAAACGGAATGGCCGGGTATGCTTTGTCCAGGCCCTTGGATAAGAGCTTCTCGATGACGGCCAGGGCGCCGCGAATATCCCTCGTTTGCTTGCCTCTGCTACTGCCATCGGCCGGGAGACTGGCGAGGAGGTCGAGCAGAACCCTCACAGTGGCGTGACCATGGTGGGATTTTAGCATGATGGTCAGGGTGTGCCAGGCCGGCTTGTGAAGGCCAGGGACCAGGCAGAAAATGGACGACATCAGGAGGACGCATTGCTTGAAGCTCTCGTCGGGCAGCGAGGCGAAGGTGAAGATGGTGTCGATGACGCCGATGCAAGCTTGAATGTGTTCTTCCACGTTGGTGCTCAGACAGATGGCGACGAGAACATTGACGAGCCCGGCCATGGTGGGCTCATCTGCCACACTGGAACTAAACTTGATGACATGAACGATGAATACAAAGAGTTGCTGGAGATTCTTCTCTTCTCCAGCCACCGATGCGCGCGATTTGCCGTTCTTCTTGGCCTCTCGACTGGCCTGCTTCCTCGCGACCCTGACGGCGCGGTAGGCTTCGTGTAGCCATCTTCGGAGGAGGGGGATGACCTCGTAGTCGAACCCTGAGAGGTCGCGACCGTTCTTGGTCAGATCAACCAGCGCGGCGAGTTGCAGATGGAAATCTTCCGGGTGCGCGGGGGCGGTTAGGGTTTGGAAGAACTCTTTCCGCTCGAGGTCGGTAGCCGACCCATGCTTGACACACTCTGTGAGCAGATCCCAACCGGCGGCTCGAGCAGAACCCGGCTTGGCAGCGTCGATGAGATCCTTCCCAGCATACCATATCTGGATAACGGGGCATAAGGGATATTCGGCGATGGCATATCGGAGCGAGTCGGCGGCGGCGATACGTTCGGGAAGAGAACCGGTCTTGAGTTGCTGCAAACTTGCGGTGTGGTCAAGGGACAGGCCAGAAATGCCTATTGTTATCGGAGGATGCACCATCGAGGAGACCGAGGTAGAAGGAGGAGACTGGAGGTTCGGCGGGGGAGATCTGGCCAGTCGGCCGCCGGTCAAGCCTTTGAAGACATTGGCAAGACCCCCCGGCCGGCTCGAGTCTGGAGATGAAGCGACATCTCCTGGCGAAGGAGGCATATGCTCGACTTGTCTCTCGGACTTGAACAAGCCTCGGGGTACTATAGAGCGGAACATGTCAGCACGTCAGCTTCGGGCGACGGCCCAGCTTCGAAGGTCTTATGGATGAGGCCAGAAAGACTCGTCAACTGTCTCCTTGGGGGGGGCAAGGCAATAAGAAGTCGACAGCAGTGTCCACCTCCAGACAGATCACCAGAGGCATCCGAGAGGTGATCGAGAGAAGGCTGTGCATGGACTCAATTTGGCCTGGCCTGTTCCCAGGAGGAGAAGAGAGAAAATAAAAACACAATAAAAGGAAGAGAAGAGAAGGTGGGACAAGTCGCACGCTAGATGGTGAAGGAGACTCACAGTAAATATGTTTACGGCATTAAGACGTGGTGCTAATTCGAAGGAAGGAGCAGTCGCTGACGAGTCGTAAGAAGGAGGCAGGGCTTAACAGGTTACCTGAGGGTGTGGAGCGTGCAGATTCTTTCGTTGTTAAGTGGCCGGTGGTCGAGTAGGAGGGCTGTGAGATACGAGATGCCTGGTCGGCCTTTCTGAAATGATCGTATACTTTCGTCAAAAGTGCGGGACGGTCACGGACAGCGATGGAGTAGGTGACGGAGACAACAGTTCGAGAAAGCAGTATGTAGTGATGGAAGAGTAAGGTAGAGTTCGCCAAGGCTGGGCTAGAAGCTCTGACGCATCCTACTGTACTATACCTAAGGTAAGAACGTCGAGGCAGCACAGGGTTCAAACATTGGGGGAGAGACCGAAATAGAGGGAGAGGAAAAAAAAGTCCCTGGACAAAATTAACACAAAGGAACAAGAACCATCCTATCAGCATCATCACCTTAGGTACCTCTGCTTCTGGGGCTTACAAGTGAGGACAGGGGTATCTTTGTGGGGAAGGTTGATAACTTCCAAGGTACAAAGTGGTATCTGCTGACCAAGGTATCAAGAGTGACGAGCACCTCACAGGTGACCAAAAGGGGGAAAGCACACCAAGTGGAACCAAACAGTGGAGGATATCGGGGGAAGTACCTGCATTGACCCGGATTCGATCGTCATCATGGAATATACGGCCGCCCTGGTTTGTGCTAACACCGCTCCACCCCGCTTCAAGGACGGACATCCTGTACCTACGTATTCCAATGTCCCCTGGATGCTTCAGGACATGAAGTTACCTATCCACATCGTAGCATTCTTGAGAATTTTACCCAGATTCTTGTTCATTTAAAGACCATGTATTTACTCAGTTCTCGTCTCTCAAAGAACATCAACCGACACGTTTGTCTCGATTAAATGGCGTACCAGAACAACTTCGGAAGAGACACGATTCGAGGATTATGTATGTACATATGATAGAAACAGGAAATCGGCGTAGCGGAAGGGTCATGGGGGTGGTCGTAGTCATGTCAGGTGTCAAGCCACCTTGGGCTGACCCATTGGCTGACCAAACCGCAGCTGATCAACCTGTCTCGTAATATTGTTTTTCCGACAAATTGGAAACTCTCATTGGGAAATCGAAAGGCAACACAAAACCACATTCTGGGAACAAGTCAAATAGCAAGACAGAAGGGCAGAGGGAAGAATTTTTTTCCACCAGGTCATTTTGCAGGTAACGAGATACTGCATATATTCCTGTATATGTCTTGCGTCGAATAGTAGAGGGTTGGGTTTACCGGTACGCCCAGATAACTGCATCAAAGTAGAGTTATGTACCCATATCCCTAGCGCGACCTGGTCTACAATCAGGGATCTGATTAAGAGTACAGATACTCCGTACAAAGACCTACGTGTACAACATACGAACGAGGAATCGCATTGTAAGGTATCCGTACTTCCTACCTATGGAGGTACCGATTCGTATAGTAGCTTCTCTCGGTGCAGAGTACGACGTCCTTGCCAGGCTATCGCGCAACAAACTCTGCCTTAGCTTCAGTACGGAATCGTTCTCGTACCTAGGTAGTTTTGACATGGTCAATCCACTTGTTGTGACTTTCGTCCACTGCTTTCACAAGAGACGGATTTGTACTTCGTTTATTGAGAGGCTGAGCTGTTACCTGTCTCAATTTCGTAGGTACCTTATCCGCCATGGAAGCCCTGCGAAAGATTGCCCCACTGCGAGCCTCGTCCCCCACAGCAACCAATGACCCCCGCTTGAACCAAACAACACAACGAACAATAAAAGTTCAACAACGACGAGCAGAAAAGAAAAAACGGAAGAAGCCAGGGAAAAGGGAAGATAGGAAGAAAAAGAACGAGCATAAGAACCCCACCACCACCGCCACCGCCTCGACCTAGCTACTCGCGCTCAATAACCAGCAAAGGATCGATATTGACTCGTCCTTAAAACTTCCAAGATGTCTGCGGACATGGGCACCATTGCCCAGCTGCTCGATGCTACGCTCGACCCATCCCAGCACAAGAAAGGTTTGGAGCTGCTTCCCTTCTCCCTTGAGCTCGTGGCCGACTAGAGCTCGAACCTAGCTGCCTGCCTTCCGCCGGCAATCCGTCCGCTAATCAAACAATGTTGTTTCCACAGCCGAGAGCGCGTTGAAGCTTGAACAGGTCAAGACCCAGTACTCCATCCAGCTGCTAAATATCGTCGCTTCCGAGGCTCTCCCTACAAAAACGCGGCTCGCCGCCTCCCTCGCCTTCAAGAATTTCATCCGGAACAACTATGTCGACGAGGAGGGCAACTACAAGATCCCCTCCGAAGAGGTGGCCACCATCAAACAGCAGCTGATCGGGCTCATGATCGCATGCCCTGCCTCGATCCAGACCCAGCTTGGCGAGTCCATCAGCATCATTGCCGATTCGGACTTTTGGGAGCGCTGGACCACTCTGACGCGCGAACTGGTCGACCGCTTCTCCACCACCGACCCCAAAGTCAACATTGGCGTCCTCGAGGTTGCCCATTCCATCTTTGTCCGCTGGCGCCCGCTGTTCCGCACCGATGAACTGTATACCGAGATCAACCACGTCATCAGCACTTTTGGCGAGCCCTTCATCCAGCTCCTGATCACCGCCGACAAGCAGATCGACGCCAACGCCCAGAACAAGGATGTGCTCGCGAGGTGGCTCGAGGCCCTGAGCCTGATGATGAAGATCTTCTACGACCTCTCTTCCCACGACATGCCCCCCATCTTCGAGACCCACCTCAGCTCCCTGTCCGAGCTGCTGCACAAGTATCTCGCCTACTCCAACCCGGTCCTCGACACCGACGACGACACCGAGGTCAGCGTCGTCGACACGGTGAAGGCGGACATCTGCGAGGTCCTCGAGCTCTATGTCATGAAGTACGACGACGACTTTGCCCCCTACACGCAGCCTTTTATTACCAGCGCCTGGAACCTCCTTTCGTCCGTGGGCTTGGAGACCAAGTATGACCTGATCGTCAGCAAAGCGTTGGGCTTCCTCACCGCCATCGCCAGCACGACCAAGCACTCGCAGGTGTTCGGGAACGAGGAGGTTCTCGGCCAAGTCGTTGAAAAGGTCATCCTGCCCAACGTGCAGCTGCGTGAATCCGACATCGAGATGTTCGAGGACGAGCCTATCGAGTTCATCCGACGCGATCTGGAAGGCTCGGATACCGACTCGAGGCGGAGGTCCGCCACCGACTTTTTGCGCAAGCTGCAGGAGAGGTTCGAGCAACTGGTCACCGGCGTGGTGGGCAAGTACATCAACCACTACCTGGAGCAGGGCAAGACGGACTGGAAAGCCAAAGATACCGCCGTGTACCTCTTCATCTCCATCGCCTCCAAGGGCGCCGTCACGGCCGCACAGGGTGTCAAGACGGTCAACCCGCTCGTCAACGTGGTCGACTTCTTCGAGCAGCACATCGCTGCCGACCTGACCAACGCCGCCGGCGTGGAGCCCATCTCCAAGGTCGACGCCATCAAGTACCTTTACACCTTCCGCAGCCAGCTGAGCATCGAGCAGTGGAAGGTCGCCTTCACCCCGCTCATCCAGAACCTGGCCTCGGACAACTACGTCGTCTACTCGTACGCGGCCATCGCCGTGGAGCGGGTCCTCTTCCTGACGGCCGACAACGGCAAGCCCATGTTCCCGCGGGAGGACATCCAGCCGTTTGCCAAGGACCTTCTGGACCACCTGTTCAAGCTCATCGAGAAGGAAAGCTCGGCGCCCAAGCTGCAGGAGAACGAGTTCCTCATGCGATGCGTCATGCGGATTCTCATCGTCATCAAGGACGGCGCGGCTCCCCTGGTGGAGCGCGTGCTGAAGCACTTGATCCTCATCACCAGCATTATCCGGCAGAATCCCAGCAACCCCAGGTTCTACTACTACCACTTCGAGGCCTTGGGGGCGTTGGTCAGGTACTGCGCCGCGACAAACCCGGGGCTGTTCAACCAGCAGTTGTGGGAGCCCTTCCATCAGATCTTGGTGGAAGACGTGACGGAGTTCCAGCAATACATGTTCCAGATCCTGGCACAGCTACTCGAGGTCTGCCCGGCAGATGCCGTTTCCGACAACTACAAGGCCTTCCTGGCGCCGCTGTTGGCACCGGCACTGTGGGAGGTCAAAGGCAACGTGCCGGCCTGCACGAGGTTGCTGGCGGCCATCATCCCGGCGACCAAGGCCTACATCGTCTCGGAGAAGTTGTTGGAGCAGGTGCTTGGCATTTTCCAGCGGCTGTTGGCTACCAAGAAGTTCCAACTGTACGCGTTTGACGTGCTGGAGGCGGCGGTCAAGTCATTCGAACCGTAAGCAACTACTTTCCTGTGTCTTTGAACTTTTATATTTGTTTTGGATTCCCCCCCCCTTTTTTTTTTTCCCCTCCCCTCCTTATGCCCTCGTTGCTAACCAAATCTTCGACTTGTAGGGCGGTGCTGGACCCGTATTTCGGCCAGGTTCTACAGCTCATCTTCTCCAAACTTGAAGGCCAACCTCCCGAGTCATTGAAGCTGCGATTCGTGCGGTTCTACCACTTGATCGCCTCCAAGGTCGAGGCAGGCTACGGAGCGGACTACGTCGTCAAGCACAGCAATCAGCTGGCGCCAGGGGTCTTCGCCACGGTGTACCCAACCTTCATCCTGGCGGACACGGACAAGTTGGCCAACCCGGTGGACCGCAAGCTCGCCGTGGTCAGCTTGACCAAAACCATCTGCGAATCGCAGGCCTTCGGCGAGCAGTTCAAGAAGGGCTGGGCGCGGACGGTGGGCCTCCTCTTGGGCCTGCTGGTCAACCCCCCCACGGTGACGACGGGCGTGGGCGACGAGATGATCGCGGAGGCGGACGTAGACGACATCGGGTTCGGGCTGTCCTACACGGCGCTGAATACGTGCAGGCGCCTTGCGCGCGACGAGTATGCCGACGTGACGGACGTGACGCCGTGGGTCAGCGCGTACATCAACGCGGCCAACACGCGGCATAACGGCGCCATCTCTGGGTTTATTGGCGAGCGGCTAACGCCGGAACAACAGGAGACGCTCCGGCAGTATTTGATGTAGGGGGGGGAAGTGAGTATAGGTAATGAACGGGGGAGCGCAACTTCTGCCGAGGAAGAACTTGCCGACGGACGCCAGAGGGACTGCTGAGTAGAGACGGACCGCTACAGTTGACGTCGCAGTTCCTATAAAGTGGGTAGTTCCGAAAAAGCGGCGATCAATAGAAACGCATGCTAGTGGCAATGGCATCGACTTTGATTCGCCTACATAAGGGTATGAAGGGTATTGGTATGATGTTGGGTCTCGTTGAATATTCAATGGCTTTTCTATTCAAACCCCAATGCGGTATCCGGGCAAGCCAGTCAGCCAGTCATATATCGCCCGGTCTCGCATGGGCCTGACTCCAGACGGATCCCTAGTCTTGGACACGACGCGGGCGTTGTGTTTTTATTTATTTATTCACTGTTGTCTCCTTTGAGGAAACTCTTCGGCCCGCTTCTGTTGGGGGCGAGTTGGTGCAAGATGCAGCAAGCAGGCTGCCGTCATGCATGCATCCATCCTCCCTCTCGAGACCCAACGATCCGGAAACGAGAGGGACCGACCCCTCCTTCGTTCCCCTCCGCAGGGAGGGGAACCGGGGAAGCCGGGGAAGCCGAGGAAGCCGGATTTGACTGACGTGTACGGAGCTTCCGCAACCCCCCTCCCCCCGGGCCAACCAGATAGGATGGAATGTGTCGCATCGGTGAGCGTCGGGCGCATCTGCAGGATGCACGGTTTCTTCAAGTCGTTGGCGTGGGTTAGCACCAAGATCGGCAAGGATGGGACCTGTTCATACTACTGGGTGGAAGACCAGACCCAGTTGAAGATGCAATGCTTCGTCTTGTTTGGGGTCTCGTCCCTCTTCCTACCGTCCTACAGTATGCAACATCATGCCGCATGTCAAGTCTTATGGATCCTATGGACTCCTTATCATATTGATTCCCTTCTCCTCGCTCTGATAGGTGTTGCATGGGCAGCACAAGGTGTCCTTCAGGCTCATAAGTAAGGTAGGAGGGGGAGCCATATATTCTTCGTGTCTTGTCTCTACTTCTCTTCGCGGGCAACTCTACGAAGACTGGGTCATATTATCAGGTAGAATGCCCAGTATTTGACAAGCTCATGGGGGACCCTACCTCAATAGTGTTCTGTGCAGTTTTCAAAGTCTCTCGACATTCCATTCTATTCAGGTTCTCTGAATAGAACAACTAATTGTTCGTTGGCGAGATAGATCTATTCATTCATTCTCCTCTTCGCCTGCCCATAGCAATTAAGTGAGTGACTGCTCACCTTTACCTACTTGGCCCGTTCTACTACCCCTGGGTCCTCACATCTTGATTCAGAAGACATCCTGCGCTTTGGAGTTTGTGACGTCTTGGCTCACATCGAACAATCCCATCACTCTACCACATACATGTCTTAGATCTCATTCCTCAGGCCCTCCTCAGAAGCCAGTGCGCTTTCTCTTTTTCCACCCCGGCTGACTGACTGACTGATAAAGTCGGATCACTCTCACCCTCTTCCTGCTGCCTTCAACCAGATTGTCATCCTCATCCGGACTCGGCAGGTCTCTCACTGTGGCTTCCTAGAAGATGAAACTTCGTGCCTGGCCCATGGCCTTGATGGTCCATCTTCTACATGTAACTGTCTTCGCAAAGGTTTGCTCAGCTAGTAGCACTAGACCTCGCGTCTCTGTTCGACAGGTGAGTTCCTTTACCCAGGTCTTTTACCTGTGCGAGATATAACACTGACGCACAGATGATCCTTAGACATCTGGTCTCTGCGAGACCACCCCGAACGTCAAGTCATACAGCGGCTATGTCGCTCTGCCTCCCACAACCAATTTCCCTTATGAGCAGAACCTCTTCTTCTGGTTCTTCGAGTCCCGCCAAGATCCCAGAAACGATCCCTTAGTTCTGTGGATCAATGGCGGTCCCGGCTCTCCATCCATAGGTCAAGTGTGTTCAAATTGGGCTCTTGTTTTGTCTCTGTCTTCTAGTATCTCTGCTGGTATGTTTTGCCTGAGCTCACAATCCTGTCCAGGCCCTTGGAAGCAATGGTCCATGCCGTGTCCTGGACGACTCCAAGACTACCAAACTCAACGAATGGTCTTGGAATAATAGAGCGAATCTTCTCTACATTGACCAGCCCGTCCAGACAGGCTTTAGCTACGATACTGTGGTCAATGGTCGAATGGACTTGCTTACCGGCAACATATTCCCCGATGGTGCCGACGTCCCCCCTGAAGGTTCTATCCTGTTCGATGGCACATTCAGCTCCCAGGACCCAAGGCAGACCGTCAACACTACCCAGAATGCTGCTCGTGTCATGTGGGATTTCATGCAGGCCTGGCAGGCCGAGAAGACCTTCAAGGAGTATAAGCGAGACAGTATTCATCTCTGGGCTCAGCCTTAGTATGTTCTCATTGTGTTGATGCTCTCTTTCCCCTTTCATCCGTTGCACCCCCTTTTCCTACCGCCCTTTTATTATCAACAAGTCTCGGGGGTAGCCCACAGCATGGATTACTACAGCATTATCCCTAACTCTTCCTCTCTACAACCAGCGGCGGTCACTGGGCTCCCGCCATCGCCTCCCATTTCAACACCCAATCCGATAGCCTCGCCTCCTCGAACCCGGTATCCCCCACCGAGCGGCTCTGCCCAAGACCAAGACCAAGACCCATCCGCGTCGCCACACTCGGCCTTATCGCACCCTTCATCGACGTCCTCGTCCAGAACTCGGCCCTGACCTACGCCTATAACAACACGTACGAAATCGAGATCTTCGACCAGGACACAGTTGCCAACATTACCGCCACTTTCAACGCCGAGGGAGGCTGCCGGAATCTGACCGAAGCATGCCGGGCTACCGTCGCCGCCCAGGACCCGGACGGTTGGGGAAACGCCCCGGCCGCGTGGGAGATTTGTGCCTTCGCTTTCCAGACGTGCTATGCGCTCACAGAACTGCCTTATAGTGCCCAAGGAGTATGCGAGCCCCTATTAAATCGCTGATGCTTATCAAGCGTTGTAAGGCTAATCGATCCCCCCCGCCCCCTCGTTGGGTTCACGGACTGTAGCGTGACCCGTTCGACATTACCCAGTCCGCCGCCGAGCGGTTCCCTCCTCCCTACGCTTTGGGATTTCTGAACCGCGAGAACGTCCAGAGTCAGTTAGGAACGAGAGTCAACTATACATAATACAGCAATGTTGTGGGCAACAGTCCCAGTGCGTTTCAACCCTTCGCCCCCCCCCCCACCCCCTTTTTTTTCTTCTTTTTTTCTTCTTTCTTTCTTCTCTCTTTAACCTGCAGTATTAATCACTGACCGCCAAAACCCCCGCCGCCCAGACTTTTTCATCACCGGCGACTTCCTAGTAAGCTTCGCCCCCACCATCGAGTCCCTCCTCAACGTCGACATCCCCGTCACCCTGATCTACGGCGACCGCGACTGGCGCAGCAACTGGTTCGGCGGCGAAGACCTCTCCCTCGCCTTAGCCCACCGGGGCGCAGCCGCCTTTGCAGCCGCAGGGTACGCAGACCTGGTCGTAGAAAACAGCAACGACAGCAACGACAGCAACGACAGCAACGACAGCAACGACAGCAACAACAGTGACGACGACGGCCCTGTTCGCCGCAGAGGCTACACCCGCCAGCACGGCCGCTTCAGCTTCACCGTCCTGCGCCAAGCCGGCCACGAAGCCCCCTACTACCAGCCCGACGCCGCCTACGCCGTCTTCCAGCGCGACCTGGACGGCGTCGACATCGCTACCGGCCGGACCCCCGTGGCGCCCGGGTCGAGCGGCTACTCGACCTCTGGGCCATCCGATATACGCGGCGTCAAGGCTTCGCGGCCCTCGGGGCCGAGGCCCCTCTTTTGCTATGTGGCCGGTAGGTCGCTTCCGGCTGGGTCGTGCTCTGAGGAACAGATCGCCGCGCTCAGGGACGGGTCTGCTGTTGTGGAGGATTTCGTTGTCGTCAATCCGCCGTGGCGTTCCCCCTGGAGGCGGGGCCGGGAGAGAGCATGAAACGATGGGGGGGTGGGATTGTAGGTACGGGAGTTCCCATTCAGGCTCTGGAGGCATAGGGTAAGGGGTGACTGGGTGTCACGAAAGGGGCATATCATTATATAATTATACGGGTAGCTGCCTGCCAGGAGACCCGTCCGCTTTAGACGGCGTCGCTTTACTCGACTTTATACACGGAACATGAACACGAACAAGTCATCATTTTGGTCGTCAAACACTTCGGAAGACTGGTCGGCGAGCTTCGTTTGAGACGTTCACATAATACTGCTAATAAACATGCCTAAAAACACCCTTTGCACCGATAGCTACTGGGATAGATGCTTCGAGTGAACGGTGGAAACATTGGGCTTGACTCTCTCACGGTTCGAATAGAGACGACATGAGTGACAGCATTATAAATGGACAAGGCCAGTTCGTCTCCATTCCGCTTCTAACCCCTGTTCATCACCCTCGCTCAAGCCAACGACATGCCTGTTCAACTGTCCAGCTGAGCAAGGGGATTGCCAGCCTGTTGGTGCAAGGCCAAGTAAATCAAATCTTGGCCACCTTTACACGTACGACGGGGGATGTGGTGGCGTCCTAAGGCCTTCATCCTGCATCCTCCTGCACGGGAACAGGGAACATTCCTTCGTACAACATACAGAACAGAACCGTCGTGTGGGTACCTGTCGATCGGGGCGATCATGGCGTCCTGGTACCGTACATATCCAAAGGATGAAGGGAAAATCAGCCAGGTGATCCCCCAATCCAGGAGATTGGGAACGAGTTCAGGGGGGGGAGTGTGCCGTGCCTCGTTCAGGCGAAAAGTATTACTCCATCATAATTCACCAGACAGATGGGAAGAGGCGACAGTCAGATGTGAAATCCAGAAGCATGAGCTGTTTTTCTTCTTCTTCTTCTTTTCTTCTTCTTTTTTTGCGCAAGAGATATTGCATGCTGCCAATTCCCTCTTTCAGCATGATCACTCCGCGGACATACTCGAAATGGTTCGATTAAGGAACATGGCGACACTAAATAGGACTCGGCCAGTCGATGGGGCCATGGGGCGGGCCGTCTTCAAGACGGCGCACGGCAAACCCTCATTGCAATGTTTAAATTGAGACGGTCGTATGTCGTAGGTCGCCGAGGCGGCCCTAGAGCTGAAGATCAAGCCCGGGTGTGAATCAGGTTGGCAGCAACTAAGACTTAGACTAATAGTCCAAGGTCGACTTCGACGAGTGCCAGCTCCGGGAGGAAACAACGAAAAGCGGTAGGCGAGTCATGAATGCACGCAGCAACCTGTAGTGTCTTCTTACGTCCTTCATACACATGAAGACATGCGCTATATGGTGTGCGTCAGCATGACAGACTGTCTGACACATTGGGCTCATGCAGGGGCTGGATGCGTTGGGACAGAATCCCAGGCGTTCGCTCATTTATGGTTTCCTTCGGGGGTTCGGGGGGAAACTAGACCAGGAGTCAAAGGGAAAAGAAAAAAAGTAGAAGAAGAAAACGCGGGACCAGGGGGGAAACAGCAGAGTGGAAGATGCCCAGACAGCAAGCATCACCATCACGGAGCAAAACCTGGTTAGGTCGTTGTCGGACAAATGACCGGTCATTCGCTCCCGTCTGGTTGGGTTTGGGCTGAGATTCTCTTTTCCAGCGGAGCGTACAAGTAGCGTACACTCGTACACTACAACGTACGTTGTACTTGGATCGGCCAGAGCTGATTTCGGTAGCATTTTGGTCGCATTTCGCATTTTGGCTTGATGGATCACAGAGCCACAATGCATATCACTGCCACAACTGGTCTGGCGTGTTTGCTCCCTCGAGGGGGAAACGGTCCGCCACTCAGCGCGGGGTAGACAATGGTGTGGCGGCGTCAAGGACCAAAGGATCCGCAAGGAGGGTGAGAAGTGCGGTCTTTTTCTCATGGGGTTTCCTGCCTGTTGGGGATGATTAGCGCCAAGTCGCCGCCACTATCCAACGTACGAGGCAGTTCATAGTGGTAGAGTGCAACATAGGCACGCGATGCGGGAAGTCGAGCGAGTAGAGAGGCAAGACCGAGACTTGATCCAAAAGTAGGTAGGGAATGATAAGTAGTGTACCTTGGTAGGTATCCGTGGAGCCTGTTTCTTGTATAAGATATATAAGTGCGGGAGAGGGGGTTGTGAAGGCATCCAGAACCATCGGGGGCCAACAAGTTGGAAGAACTAACTGCTGTTGCTTATTATTAACCGGAACGACGGGGTCGACACGGTGCGTTGACGTTGCCAGCGTGCCAGCGTGCCAGCGTGCTGGTTATCTTTTCTCGATATTACGGATAGGTGATAACCGCGGTAATGTCCCCATCGTAATGTCCAACGTCAAGTCAAGGTCTGTGTTGCTGCAGCTAAAACGAGCTGGATGGTAATAGGTATGCGTAACAGGAAGACTTGGTTGCCAAGTGGATGGGTACATGAGAACGAGACGAGAGAGAATGTTGTCTCTTTCAGTACGGAAATCTGCGTTTCTATGAGTGGACAAGACGTCTCTTGTCTTCCAGGAACCCAGGATGTCTGAGGAGAGACAGACACATGGAGTCAAAGCAGATGTAGAGACATATCTGCAATATGTCGGACGCAGGTATTCGTGGTTCGTAATTGAGCAATTGGAGTTGAAAATTGGCAAACTCATCCCCTCGTACAGGTGTATCGGTAACCCATCATCCAAGATAATATGCAAGATACTGTATCAGCAGGTAGGCCAGACATGGATATGATGAGGCGATTCCGGGAATTGGAAACAGGGGAAGGGAAAAAAGGTACGAAGTATTAGGTACCTTAGGCATCGTATCCTCTTTCTATCTTGGCGAAAGGGCCGAGTGGTGGATGGGGTAAGCAGGGGGTTATCCATTTCGTTTGATAAGCTGAGGGCTCTCTTGATAGGAGGATATCTCTCCGGGCAGAGGAGCAACGGATGTTTCATAAGGTACCTTAGTGTACCACGCACGTGCAAGTATTTATACGAAAAGTACGGATACATTCACCGAGTCTTAGAGCCCGTGATATGCGTTTTTGCTGTTTCTCCATGTCCAGTCAGTTGCCTTGTCGTTTCCCGTTGTGTTGACGTGTTCCTGATGGCAAATGGATTGACAACAAGCCAATAGCATTACGACCAGATGACCGATGAAGTGACGAAGTAATGACTTCGCGATGTCCAATACCGTACGGAAGTTATTATATATACTGTATTTGGGCGCATGTGGATACTGCCCCTCCTTACGTATACACGTATACTGTGTATGTACTGCAAATCCCCCGTGCACCTGCCAAGCACTCGTCTCGTCTGTCGCTCTTGGTTCTTCTTCTAGCATCTTCATATCCATTTTACTTCCCTACTTTGTACTCCCCTACTTTCGTGTGTTTCCGCTTACGGAGGACGGACAATTACTTCGTACTTACTTCGTACCTACTTCGTACCTACTTCGTACCTTAGTTTTATAAGGGAAGGAGAGGTACGCAAGGTCCTATCCGAACTTGCCCTCGGAGCGTATATACGGGTACGGTCGATAATTACGTACAAAGTACTCCGTACGCACGAAGAAAATGTTCCTTCTTCGTAAGTTAAGGTATTCATAGGGTAAGGTCCTTATTATGTGTATTCCACTGTGTTCTGTTCTCCATGTTTCTTTCTTTTTTTCTCGCTTCGTCCCGTTTAATTCGACTTCCCAACGCACACATGTAGGTACCCTGAACCTGAACGAACCAGGGTCTAGACCCGGACCGGGATCTGCCCCCTGCGCTGCGAACACTTTAATTAGGTACCTTACCTAGTTGCTGCAGGCGACTTCCCCTCCTCCCCGCATACGTTGCGCCGTAAAAACCCTCCCTAACGCATCTTCAAGTTAGCAGCACCTTGCAACCGTAATTATCCCCAATTATCCCCAGTTATATTATCGCCAATTCATCACCAATTATCCTTTCTGCTGTCGCTTTCCAACACTCTACAAAGTCAAGCCCTCTCTGTCACACACACACACACACACTCTCTCTCTCTCCACGTGATGCCAACTTCACTTCCTTGAACAACTCGCAAACCGCACTTCAAACAGACGAATAATTACGGGATACCTCGCACACATTCTCCATTTTGCATCGCCCGTGTTCGCGTTTCTCGTTTGACTCCATATTCATTCCACATTTTCCTATTTCCCCATCCGTCTTGGCTCCACCTTCACATCGTTCTCTTTTTCTTCTCCCCCACCCTCATCTCCATCTTCATCTATCTTCCACTACGTGTATTTTCCTTCATCCCCCCCTCTCGACCGATCTCCATCTTTGCCACCTACCTACTGCGCCGCTGCAGATCCCCCCCAGTCACGACTCGAGTTCGTCCCATAATAATAAGCCCTGCCTCCCTTCGTTACTGCTCTGGGCACTGAAGATCCTTGGAACTACTCCATAATTATATGTACACGTACCCTTGTCATAACAGGACTCACAACTTGGCCGCTCCTCCGCCGTGGCATTTCCGGGACATTGGGAAACTAGCAGCTGACTAGTCGTCCTTTGAACTTTTTCCCCTTTTTTTCCAATTTTCGATTTTCGATTTTCCTCCTTGTTTTTTTTTAGCTTGCTCTTTTACGGCATACGCTCCGCTCCATTCGACCTTGTGAACCCCATCGCCTCAACCGACCAGACCGGTCATTAATCTCTACCTCCCTGCTCGAAAATCACTGGGAACGTCACCCTGCCGCCGCACTTCTCTTGTCCGTCCCTCGGGAGCCTCACATTGTTCAGGATGTCGATGAGATAGCCTTTCTCCTCGCACGACTTTCCTTCCTCCCCTCCTTCTCCTACAAGGCGACAACCTACTCGTTTCATACCGGCAGTCACGTCCGGCCATCCGCCCTTCGACACAAAATGGACTCGTGTGAAGGGGTTCTTCTCGTCCCCCCGGAGAGGGGTCAGCTTCTGGGTCGTGCCCTATGGAAGGTGAGTCGACCGCTCGCCGGACGGTGTATCCGAATTCGATCGGTAGAGGAAGCAACAAAGAAAAGACGAATACAACACCCCATTTGTTCTGCTTTCAAGAGGCGCCCCGCGGCATAATCCTTCGACATTTCGCTAACTAACCCACCCGCCCCTTGCCAGGCCCGATATGTCATCGTCGGAAGGCGCAATGCCCACAAGCACCAGAAGATCCAGACTCACGCTGGCCCCAGCATGGCCCAGGTCATGACCACTGCCTCCCGCATGAACAGTGGTTCAAGCTCCAAATCCCCGCCTGTTCATTCCGTCGAAGACTATGTCATTTCCATATTCAAGGCCAAAGTAAGTTCCGAGAGAATCACCTTTGGATCACCTTGCATTGGCATCCGGCTGCTTGGTCTCTAACCATTTTATTTTACCTTTGCTCTTATAGGATGACTGGGATCCCGCCCACCAATACCCCGTCAGCTCCGTGATCGACTGCCAGGTCCAGATGGTTGCTCATCGCAAGCAGGGACCGGTACTTCCCACCCTCATCGTCACTCTCAGCGACAAGGAACGTAAACGTCGTTCGAGCAGGGCCGCCGGTCTTATCGCCAACAAGGAACCCACAACTTCGACCCTCTGGTTCCGTACCCCTCCCGACGACCATCATATCAGCCTGCATGACTGGGCCCGCTATATCCTCTCACGAAAATTGCCATCGAGCCCCGACAGTCCCGCCTCGCCTTCCTTCACCAATCCTTTCCCCTCCCGCGCCCCTCAGAACAATGATTATTACCCACGGCCCTCGAGCGGAAACAACCCGTCGCGTTCGGCCTTCTTCCACAAGACTTCGACACACGGCGGTCGAGAACGCCCGGTCACTTTCAGTTCCGAGTCCCCCAGCCTGCGGTCCAAGCGCAGCGACATCTCCTCACCCTCGAGCGCCACGAATCCGTCTCAGCTGGGCTACACCATGCCCGACCTGAACCAGTACACCACCGTCCTGCCCTCCGACATCCCTTCCCCTGTTACCTCGACAGGGAAGTACCACCAGGGAGATCTGATTGAAGGCTGGACCTCGGCACAGGGTCGTTCTTCTACCATGAGCTCCCCTGCACGCGTTCGCGGCAGCGTGAGCTCGCAGGCCCAGCAACCCGGTACCTCGGCCACGGATTCGAGCTCGCCGCCTGCCCCCCGCGAGACTATTCTCGATCGGGCCTTTCACCTACGGTACATCCCGGGTTCCGAACGCGAAATCCCCGGTGAGGATAAGCTCAGCTCCTTGGCACGCTTCGACGCCCTCATGCGCGAGGCGGATCAGAAAAGACGACAGCACAAGCAGGCCGAGATGACTGCGCAGAGTGCTTGGGATTTGGACGAGTCCACGGACAACGAGGGCGACCGCGACGAAGACGACGATGACGACGATGACGACAACTTCGCACACGAGGCGGACGAGAACCGGCAGACTTTGATCCCGCCCAAAGCACAGCGGGCCTTGGAATTCCTCGTAGGCCGGCACGAGCCCGAGTCGTCCTTGGCTCGCCCATCTGCTGCTCCTGCTGCTGCTGCTGCTGCTGCTGCTGCTGCTCACTCCTCGTCCACGGGCCACCACCAGCCGGCCAACTTCCATGCTCCGTTGCAGGCGCCGTCACGGCCCCACACGGCGCACTCCAAGGTCCGGCCGAACATCAGCCACCGAACGCATAGCCAGCCGTACCTCATGGCTAGAGAAAGGCCAGACGTAACCAGTGCCCCTTCACCCGGTAAGACATCATCCGAAGACGGGCCTGCGCGGCCCGGTGCGGAGAAGCGCATGTCCACCTCCAGCGCCAAGCGACTGAGCTTCACCGAATTCACCAAGCGTCTCTCCAGCACCAGCAGCTTACTTCTCGTCCAGACCAACGCGAGCGGCGGGAGCAGTCGCGAAAGCACCGAGTTCGACCGAAATCCATCACAAGCTCTGAAGGGTACTACGTCAAGTACTAGGCCTGCCGTCCCGCCGCGGCCTCGCCGTGACGCGGACCGCGAAGATTGGGAGAAGCGGTGTGGATGGGGAGGCGGCATTGGAGTCGGGTTCAGCGAGGGCGGGTTCCTTTGACCTTTGTCCGTTGGCCTTCTGACCAGCGGGAATTGTGTCTGGGAGCTCGCTCCACCTGCTGCCTCGCCTCGCCTCGCCCTCCCTCACCACTTCTTCTCGTCTTTTGCTCAGATGCAATGAACGACACATGCCGAACCCTCGATTCGGGGGATTACATATGACAGACGGCCTGCTTTATAATTTGCCGCTGTTAACGAGGAGAGGGCTGCTGTCTTTTGGCCACCCTGCAGCAGTCCCTCCAATGGGACGTGACACGTGTGTACGATGGGGGTTTTTTCCCTTTTTGTTCGATTTGGATTTTGATATAACCACCTTTCACATGCAGTACTCATGATGACTTACGATCGGAGAAGGGGCGGGGCCTGGCGTTTGATGTCCCTTTTGGTTTTAGACGGGAGGGGGGTGGCTGGCCTCTTGCTTTTTTATTGTTAATTTTTTGCTTTCTTCTTCGACTCTGCTGCCCCCAAGGGGGACGACTTTGATGCGAGCGAGGAGGGCATGGTGGCAACCTGAAAAGAGCAAAGCACTTGGAGAGGATATCTGATTTGGACATTTTTATGTTTTCCTGCTTTAGCAAGGACGGGTTTTCGTCCTCTCATGGTGGCATCTTGTATGGTGTCTTGTGCGTTATTGCCATGGCTGCTTCACATCACGCATATAATAATGAATGTACTTCCACAGCCTTCCAGGTTGTCAGTTGGATTCCTGACCCGTGGTCACATTAGAAAGTGAAAGGAACGTTGCATAGTGGGCTCGCAGTTATGAAAAACAAACATAATTCCAACACCGGCTCATCACTGCTGTTTCCCCTGCCATGAACCCCGTAGTATAAGAAATAAAGCTCCGTACAAATGAATGTGTATTGGCGTACATGAAAGCATACGCCGTATGTACACACACATGCATCCTTCTGATCGACGTCTCGAGCAGAGCAGGTGAATCATGTGTAAAATATACTGCTCTCGCAAAGCCCCGATCATAACACCCATGCCTATGCACACCCGCGCCTCTATGTAGGGGACTCGTACCAATTTTCTGGCATCCCCGGCCCAAAAAAAAAGGCCTGTCTGCAGTCTTGAGGAGAGACAAGAGAATGCCGGCAATCCCAGTCCCGAAACCGGCAAAACTCCCAGAGACACCAAGCGATCTCCCACCACGCATAACAATAAGGGATTCCCAGGAACCGATTGAACCGATGCTCTGGTATAAAGGCCAGAAAAGAAAAGGGGGGAAGAATGGACGTTTTACGTGAACGGACTAAGAAAAGAGGGCATGAAACGTCATGGGCGCCTTATGCCACCTAACTTCTGTTGGGGTGGGAACTGCGGTCATTACGGATATAGCGTGCCGGATGATGGCGTAAGTTCGATGCTTGCTGTGCGTTAGACCAACTGTGTTCACTGACGTTAATATACATACGAAGCTGATAGATGAAAAACCGGGAGGGTAGCTCTTAAGACTCACATGTTGACTAGACCGTCATCACCACACGAAGCGATCATGAACGGGTTGGTCGGGTTAAATACTACGGCATTGGCCCGGGGGGCATGTCCTGGTAGCCTTTCCACGACGGCACCAGTATTTTTGTGCCAGATCAAGATGTTTCCGTCTTTGTTTGAGATGAAATGTTAGCACGGCAACCCAGGACCCCTGAAGCGGTGACCCGACGAAAGGGGGTTGGGTATAGGGCCTTGACCAACCTTCACTGCCGCTGAGGACAAAACTCTCATTGGCACCCCCAAATGCACTGCGGATTAAGTACTTGCCGCTGGTGTGACCGAGCAGCTTTTGGCTCACGGAACGCGTGGCGAGCTCAATCAGTTGTGCCTCTGAATCCTGCTTATTGACAAGCAGGAGCGAAGAGTCCTCGCTTATGCTGACGGACGTGGGGCGAACTTTCATCTGCATCTCGAACTCGGGGCTGCGGGTGATTCCATTGTATACGTGGATCGTCTGATGATCGTCCACGGCGACCATCCACCGCCCGTCTCGGGACCCGCACAAGTCTTGCACTCGGTGGCTCTTTCCCCAGTCGTGGACCAATACGCCGTCGAGGTTATAGGTCCGGATGCTGTGCTTCTTGTCCAAAGAACTGACGGTAAAGCTCCGCCCATCCGGAGCCCAGACGCAGCCAGTGATGGGTTCCCCGAAGCGATCGAGCTTTTTCAGCAGCTCACCCGTCTAGGACAAGGATTCGTGTGAGTAGGTGACCGTGAAAAACGCATGCTTCGTTGAGAAGACGGGAAAGGGGGAGGGGAGGGAATCTTTATGTCTACTCACCTCGGCATTCCATAGCCTGGCATACTTGTCCAGGGCACAGGTAACGATCATCGAGTCGTCGGGGCTCCACGAGAGATTGGCGACGCCTTCGTTGTGATCTCCCAAAGTCCGCACGACATTAAAAAAAGGGACACCCCAAATGGTCACGGCGTCGTCATTGCCGAAAGCTGCGAGCCGGTTGCCGTCGTGAGAGAATTGGACTCCCCACACCTCACCCTTCTGGTCATTGAGTTGCAAGGCGATTACCGTGGGAAACTGATTCCGGTCACACGAGTGGTCAGAGTATAGCGATGGCGACGCCGACTGCGTGTGCCATAGACAGCTATCAACTTGGCTCTGCTTCACCTTCTGCAGGAGGACGGCCAGACGGTTCTCGGGGAGCATCACCGAGGGTGAGATGCAGTCTAACAGCACGTCACGTCAGGACAAACGACACGAAAGAAGAAGACACGCGTGGATGAGTTATTTCCTGGGTGAATGTGAGTGAAACTTACTCGACAACTCCGTCAGCAGTGCGTGCCTCGACCGTCCCTGGGCGCCATCCCAATCCGCCTGGGCCTTCAGGTCTTCAGTCGAGTCGCACATGAGGAGGCCGGAGAGGAAATGCAGCTTCTCGGAGTTTTGGTACAGCGGCGCGAGCTCGGTGCGTAGTGTCACAAGGGCCTGCGTCGTCTCCTTCCTCTCCAGCAGCTCAAGGAACTTTTGGCGACGGATCAAAAACAGCAGAGCGGTCTTATCGGTGCCGCGGCCCAGGACGAGCCCGTTGCCCCCCAAGGTACTGTCATCGCCAGCCACGGCGCCGAACAGGAGATCCTCGGCATCTTCCCAGGCGCCCCGAAGGACGCTGTTCCTGAAGGCGGCGACAGTGGGGTTCTCCAGCTCGCATCCGCTTTCCCGACGAACGCTTTCTGCCGCTTCCTCAAAGCCCATGTCGGCCAGGGTCTGGATCAGAAGACGGGTGACCTCCTCCCGGTTGTGGCCAAAATACAGAGGCTTGTCCGATGGTGCGAGCGGTGATGTCGAGCCCTTGGGGGCGGTGGGGGTTTTGTGGATGCCATTGGAAGTGGAGGTCTGGATGTGGGTGTCGGAGGCACTCTGTCGACTCGGACTGGCGCTGGAGCCGTTCGACTCTGCATCGGCGAGCATTTCGTGACGGCGGCGTTTGGAGGGATGAGGTACGGGCCGGGCCGGGTTCGTGGGCTCAACGACGTGGGAGGGGGGAGAGGGATCACCGTGATCCGGGTCCGGTTCCTGGTCCGAGTCGGAAGCGGCTCGTTGCCTACGGCCCAAGGCCTGCCGACTTGGGGTGCTTGAGCTCGTGTACGATAATATCGTTCCAAAAGACGTCAAGGGCTGCTGCCGGAGAGAGGATGAGGTGGGCGGCCCCGAAAGACGCTGGGCGCCGTCGTCGTTTATGGTGGGCAATGGGAAGAGGGTGCTAGGGTGTAAAGAGAGGCCGGTAGGCAGAGTCGAAGTCGAAGGCGTCGGCGTCGGCGAATGGTCAGACGCAGGGTCGGTGTCGGGATGAGGAGGGAAATGCGGAGGGAAATGCGGGTTAGAGGCCAGGTCGAAATCGGGGAGGGCGTCAACCGCGGGAAGAGGATCCCGCGGTCAGAGGCGAAACAGAAACGACAAGCTGGTCTTATCGGCAAGGGATGAGCAGGAAGAGCGAGAGAGCGAGAGAGCAGGGCGAGGGGGGAGGGGGGAGGGGGGAGGGTGAGATACATACAGTAGATACAGTAGACAGTGCTATGCAGCAGGAGACGGCTGCTGGGTGGCCAGATGTTCAGATGTTCAGATGTTCAGATGTTCGACTACTGCTGTTGCGCGTTACGCGTTGTGGTTGAGCAGACCAGAATCAAAAGGTTATGCTGAGTTGCGTGAAGGTGGAGAGTTCGGGGGCGGTAATAAATAAGATAAAATAAGGTCCTTGGTATCGAAGATGCGTTCATCTATGGGGTATGTATTAGTAAAGTCGGGTGCTGTGGGAGGAAGGTTTACTCCGTGCTGTTGAAAGGGAAAGGGAAGTCGTAGATTAAGGTACCTTATGCTATCTAGGTACCTAAGGTATGCTGTCTGGTGGACGGGAATGACGGACCTTCCCTGTGAGCACTACAATGGTAGGTCACTTGTTCGGGCAGGTGTCGGGCCGCACCTGGCTGAGGAAGAAGACGAAACTCAGCACTACATTTCAAGTACTCTGTACATGTACTGTACTCCGCATATGTACTATGTGTGAGGGTCCTATGTGAGACTTGATGTTCTTTTTAGTGCCTGCTATATATAAGTGCACAGGTAAGTGCCTAAGGTACCTATCTGTACTTCTAAGCCAGGGAAGCATTAAAACCTGCTGTATCTAAGGTGTAGGTACTTCTGGACAGGGCTTATGATCGTAATATCGTCGTGGCGGCGAGCGGTTAGCATGTACTGGAAGGTAAGGTACCTTATGTTATGATCTGCCTTGGACATCACGGTTCATAAGGTACCGTTTACGCCACAATAACTGATTTGACCGTTAATCTAATCTCCCGTGAGCCTGGAGTTTCTACCCTGTGCTTTGCTTGCTCGAGAAATCAGAGCTTTGTTGTGTACGGATGTAATCAGTTGAGTATTTGATTACCTAAGGCGACAGGTACTTCACAGCGAGATCAATACCTTACGGTACAGTCAAGTAATGTACCAGCAAACCACTATCGCTGCTCTGCTCAAAGCTTGGTCAGTTCCCTCCAACTTTTAGCGGCGTTGATATCCAACCCCTAAACTTAGGTACCTTACCTTATGGTAAACGTTGGAGTCTTGTCGATTCGTGTCTCTTTTCGATGGGTTTCTTGACAGGTGACGAAACGGAGCTCTCCCAGGCATCCGAATTCCTTCCTCGCCTTCTTGGTTGGGACAGGCATGTCTTCCAATCGGAACACCAGATTTTCGCCACAGGGTGGCACTTTCTCGCATGCTGAGCCACATAAGAGGTGAAATGATGTGGCTGAGAATGTGGGTGGGTACTGGTACGTTGCCCCCGTCTGGTTAGGCTCGTGATTGTTGCCATCGTCCCAGACATGACTTAAAACTCGCCAACTCAACATCACCGCCCAAAGGCATATTTTCCACGGGTTTGTTTCCGCAAATATCCTGTTCTTTTCTTCCCATATGCGTTTTTCTGACGCATCACATCAAGCCTCTAAAATCAAGAAGTAGGGAGCTTTGCCACCCAAGTCGAACTCTTGATTCCTAGACCGTTTATTTCACCGCCGTACCTCGAGTTGCAGCACCGACCCCGACGATTCCATCCCCTGATACAACTCTGCTACAGCAAGGAGCCTGCATCTAGTCTCTTGATAAGCGAAACGGAACGCTCTTCAGATCCCCCGAGGGGCAGCATATACGTGGCAAGATGAGCCAAACAGTCTCACCGCATGGCGGCATTTCGGACCCCACCCTCATTACGTATGTCCCGAGCCCATCACATCACGCATCCCTATGCATGCCATCTTCTTTTGGCTCTATTCCTCAGACTAACAGCATGCGAACAGTCTTGTCAACAAGCTTCAGGATGTCTTCTCAACAGTTGGCGTCAACAACCCGATCGACCTTCCCCAGATAGCCGTCGTTGGTAGTCAGTCGAGCGGAAAGAGCTCGGTGCTGGAGAATATTGTCGGCCGCGACTTGTACGTCACCCGTCATTTTGTTGTTTTCTTCCATTTCTCTCGTTCTGCTCAGCCTAACATGTTGGCATCCCAGCTTGCCGCGAGGCTCCGGAATCGTGACCCGGCGACCCCTTGTCCTCCAGCTCATCAACCGACCCGCCTCGGGACAGTCCAACGGCGTCAGCGATGACGCTTCCAACACCGACAAGGCGGCCAACGCCGACGAATGGGGCGAGTTCCTCCACATCCCGGGGCAGAAATTCTACGACTTTAATAAGATTCGGGAAGAGATCAGCCGGGAGACCGAGGCCAAGGTCGGCCGCAATGCCGGCATCTCGGCCGCCCCGATCAACCTCCGCATCTACTCGCCCAACGTCCTCACTCTCACCCTCGTCGATCTCCCCGGCCTGACGAAAGTGCCGGTGGGCGACCAGCCCCGGGATATCGAAAGGCAGATCCGAGACATGGTGATCAAGTACATCTCGAAACCGAACGCCATCATCCTCGCCGTCACGGCCGCCAACAGCGATCTCGCCAACTCGGACGGCCTGAAACTGGCGCGGGAAGTCGATCCGGAGGGCCAGAGGACGATAGGCGTCCTGACCAAGGTGGACCTGATGGACGAGGGGACCGACGTGGTGGATATCCTGGCGGGCCGGATCATCCCCCTGCGGCTCGGGTACGTGCCCGTGGTCAACCGCGGCCAGCGGGACATCGACAACAAGAAGCCGATCGGCTCGGCGCTCGAGGCCGAGAAGAACTTCTTCGAGAACCACAAGGCGTACCGTAACAAGAGCTCGTACTGTGGGACGCCGTACCTGGCCAGGAAACTCAACCTCATCCTCATGATGCACATCAAGCAGACGCTGCCGGACATCAAGGCGCGCATCTCGAGCTCGCTGTCCAAGTACACGGCGGAGCTGGACAGCCTGGGCCCCAGCATGCTGGGCAACAGCGGGAACATCGTGCTGAACATCATCACCGAGTTCACCAACGAGTGGCGGACGGTGCTGGACGGCAACAACACGGAGCTCTCGAGCACGGAGCTGTCGGGCGGCGCCCGGATCAGCTTCGTCTTCCACGAGCTCTACTCGAACGGCGTCAAGGCGGTGGACCCGTTCGACGTGGTCAAGGACGTCGACATCCGCACCATCCTGTACAACTCGTCCGGGTCCTCGCCGGCGCTCTTCGTCGGCACCACGGCGTTCGAGCTCATCGTGAAGCAGCAGATCAAGAGGCTGGAGGACCCCAGCCTCAAGTGCGTGTCCCTGGTGTACGACGAGCTGGTGCGGATCCTCACGCAGCTGCTCAGCAAGGGCCTGTACAGGCGGTACCCGGGGCTCAAGGAGAAGGTGCACGCGGTGGTGATCGCCTTCTTCAAGAAGGCCATGGAGCCGACCAACAAGCTGGTCAAGGACCTGGTGGCCATGGAGTCGTGCTACATCAACACGGGCCACCCGGACTTCCTCAACGGGCACCGGGCCATGGCGCTCGTCAACGAGAGGTACACGCAGGCGAAGCCGGTGCAGGTGGATCCCAAGACGGGCAAGCCGCTGCCCGGCGGCACGCCGAGGGCGGCGAGCCCGACGGTGCCGGAGGCGGAGTCGTCCAATGCGGGGTTCTTTGGCAGCTTCTTCGCGGCCAAGAACAAGAAGAAGGCGGCGGCGATGGAGGCGCCCCCGCCGATGCTGAAGGCGTCGGGTACGCTTTCGGAGCGGGAGAATATCGAGGTTGAGGTCATCAGTAAGGCAGAAGAAGAAAGAAAAATTCCCCGACACCTAGCTCTCCGGAGACGGGTCACAAACGATTGAGGAATTGCTAATCTGACACTTTTTTTCTTCTCACTCTACCAGAGCTGCTCATCGCTTCTTACTTCAACATTGTCAAGCGGACGATGATCGACATGGTGCCCAAGGCCATCATGCTGACCCTTGTCCAGTATGTTATTTTATTCTTTCAAGATGTTTCGGGGACTCAACTAACAAGAAGAAAAAAACCACAGGTTCACCAAGGACGAGATGCAGAAAGAGCTGCTGGAGAACATGTACCGCAGCGACACTCTGGACGAGCTGCTCAAGGAGAGCGACTTTACGATCCGCCGAAGGAAGGAGTGCCAGCAGATGGTCGAGTCGTTGTCGCGGGCCAGCGAGATTGTGAGCCAGGTCCAATAAAACAGACAGGCCACGAAAGGAGCGAAGGCTATTTCATGAGAAGGCAGGAATTATTAGACACTGTAGACGACATGCGGCCTGGTGGGAGACAAGAGGTAAATGCAGATATGATACGTTGGGGGGGGGCGGGGGGTTGAGTTGTGAGTGGAGGAAGATATCATTGTTTTTCTTTTTTTCTCCTGTTTTTTCATTTCTTCGCTACTTTTTTCTTCTTTGTTCCTCTTCCCCTTTTTGCACCGAGTTTGCATTATGGTGATGCCCAGGTAGGAAAGAAGAACGGTAGCAAGTGATGGCGATAGCTAATTTATTGTAATGAAATTGGAGTGCGGAATGGCCAGACGTAACCAGGTCAGTTGCTCGTCATTCCTCTTCTCTCTCGACTTTCGAAGCAGGTCTTTGTGGACGCAATGAGACGGATGGGGAGAGGTGTTGATGCCGTTTACACCGCGTTTCCGCTGTCGGCGCGAACCTGCGACGACCCTCGTTCCCTTTGTCTGCAGATGCCCATCGGAAACCGGGAGGGATGAGGGAGACGACGGAGACGACGGAGACGACGGAGCAAGCAAACAATGCAGGGAAAAGGTATTGGGACGGAATCGTACCTTGTCGTCTTCGTTCACTCCCGCCAGACATGTCGGTCATTTACCACGATGCTTTGCCCAAGACGTTGAAGTCCGCGAGGTCTTTAGAGGGCTTTAAGTGCGTCTCTTAGAGTCCGCAACTGCAACATGTGCAGGAAAGAGGCTCGATTGATTGGTTCCCCGTGGGGAAAGAGAGCAATGTGCATAGTAATAGTAATAGCAACCCCCCAGTGTACCCAGAAACACGGGTGCCAGCATATCGTCACCTGGTTTTCCTGGTTTTACTGGTTTCACTGTATCCATACAGACTACGGAGATTTGAGATGTGGGAAATCGGGAAGTGTCCCAATGATGAGGTTCGGTGTCGCAGATGGGGGCTTCGGTTTGCCGTGTTGTGGATTGGTGAGCCAGTCAAATGTTGTGAAGAGTGCAGTTGCGGCGATTGACACAATGACTTGTGTTCCTCTAAGTGTGTTACTCAACTCCCCATGGCAAAGGTTGTTAAAAGTAAGGTAAACAGAGAATAAGAGGACAAGAGAAAAGCAGCCCATTGGGTCGAGAACAATGAGAAGAGACTTGGAACTCGGAGGACTTGGCGGAGACCCGTGGGAGAGGAGTACTTACGGGCTAAGATCAAGTACCCGTATCGTATCGTGTCCCTAATAAGGTATAAGGTATAAGGTACAACTGCACTTTCATATCATCAAGTCGACGTGCCGCCCCCCAATCCATCATCCTTCACCGAACTTGTGCTTACCATTGGGACAGGGAACAAGATCCCAGCTGACCACTGCTGAGTCCTAATAAATACTACCATCTCGACACATCTTCTTCCTACATCCAATCGGCCAGACCTCAATCTGCCAATCTAAATCTTGCTGGGACCATTCAAACTCGATTTCTTGAAGTCATCAACATAATATCCATCTCACCGGCCGCCTCCTCCTCCTCCTCCTCCTCCTCCTCCTCCTCCTCCTCCTCCTCATCTTCATCTTCATCACCATCCCCTTCAGCTTCACCCCAGCCTCATCATTATTCTCCTCCAAACCACCCGCCGGGCCATCCCCCGCCTGCCCATCATGTTCTCACAAGTATCCAGCCAATTCAAAACAATCCCGGCTCCCGCCGCCGATCTGACGGGCAGGACGGCCATCGTGACCGGCTCCAACGTCGGCCTGGGCCTCGAAGCCTCTCGCTACTTCGCCAAACTGGGCTGCGATCGCATCGTCCTAGCCTGCCGGGACCTCAAAAAGGCCGAGGCCGCCCGCAAGGCCATTCTCTCGTCCGTCTCCTCTTCCGACTCCTCGTCGACATCCGCGATCCAGCCCGCTCCAGAGGTCCTGGTCTGGCACCTCGACCTCGCCGACTTTGACAACGTCAAGGCCTTCGCCGCCCGCGCCGCCAAGGAGCTCGACCGCGTCGACTTCTTCATGGCCAACGCCAGCGTGGCTTCCGCCAAGAGACAGTACGCCGAGGCCGCCGGGGGGTGGGAGATGCAACTGGCCGTCAACGTCATTAGTACTTTCTTGCTGAACATCCTCATGCTGCCCGTCCTCCGGGAGACGGGGCGGAAGTTTGCCGTGACCCCGCGGTTGGTCGTCACGGCGTCTTTCGGGGCGTTTCTCGTATGTTTTTTGTCTCTCCCTTTTTTTTCTTCTTTTTTTTTCTTCTTCCTTTTCTTCTCCCCCCTTTTCTTTTCTCTACACGACAGCTGACCCCCTAGTCCTTCTTCACGGAACGCACCGCCCCCAACATCTTCCAAGCCCTCAACGAAAACGGCAGCATCGTCGACCGGTACAACACTACCAAGCTCCTCCAGGTCATCGCCACCAAGCACCTCGCCGTGGCCAGCCGCGCCTCCGGCCGCGGCGACGTCGTCATCAACTGCCTCCACCCGGGCGTCTGCCGCACCGAGCTCTTCCGCTTCGTCCCCTTCCCGCTCAGCATTCCCTTTAACGCCGCCATGCTGCTCTTCGGCCGCTCCGCCGACATGGGCGCCCGCACCCTCATGGCCGCCGCCCTGAGCGACGAGTCGGACGAGGCAAATGCTACGCACGGCCGGTTCATGAGCGATGGGCTCGTCGCTGAGTTCCCGCCTATCATGGCCGGTGACGAGGGGGAGCAGATGCAGGTCCGGGTTTGGGAGGAGTTGTTGGAGATTTTGGACGGGATTGTGCCGGGGATTTCGAGGACTATTTGAACAGGGGTTTTTTCCTCCTTTTCCTCCTTTTCCTCCTTTTCCTCCTTTTTCTCCATTTTCTTCCATTTTCTTCCATTTTTCTTCCATTTTTCTTCCATTTTTCTTCATGTCCGATTTTCTTCTTCTTCTGCCCCCGCGCTTACACTTACACCATTCTTTTGTGCCTATTTCACTCATTTCGTTTCGTCTGTACTTCAAACTTCCACTTTGAGACGTCTTCCATAAGCCATAGATATAAATCTTGGGGCGTATATTAGGGGTAAGTCTAAACAGCACCCGTGTTTGGATACCCAGCACCCAGAAAAGTGGGCTATGATCCACTATACTCCCTTACTCGAATATCCCACTGTAAACATATATAAATCCCGAGGCGGTACAAATCCAAAGACATAGTGACATTCGTTAATTAAGTAAATTACGTCACCCGTATCTTTAACCTACCTAACCTACCTAACCTACTTAACCTACCTACCTAACCTATTAACCTTCATAAACAACCATGGATTAACAGGTTAATCGACCCTGCGGTCTAGGGCCGCCTCTTACGAGCTACGATACTCTCGAATAAGCCGATAACGCTTTACGGTCTTACGCCTTCTCTAACGGTTATAGCCTTATTATCTATAAGAGCTATCTAAATGCCCGTAATCCCGTGTCGGTAACGTATCGATATGGGAAAGGTCGAGCCGCCGTATCGTTAACGACTCCTTTAGAGACTCACGAATCTAAGAGGCGCCGAATAGCCTCGTAGATGACTAATTACCCCTTCCGTATAAGCGTTAAGCTTCGGGATAATCGGTGGATTATTAGAGGCGATTATACTAGTACCTATAACTATGAGTTTATATAGGTAGTTGCTTTCCCTTCCTTTCGCACCGCCTAGCTTACTACACGCGAAGACGAGATCATTGCTATGTGGAATAGCGGTTCACGGCCTCGTTAAATTATGACCCGACTTTGTAACCCTGAAAGTAATAGCGGTGAGGTTCCCGCGCCGCTTATTAGTATTATAGCTCGAGATATGACGAATATCCTCGCTGCCTATCGTCGGAAAGAGCTTACTGGTTGTACGCCACTTTAGTGGCTTTACGATATGAGTTACGCCTCCTGCTAACACTGCTTCGTATACTAACTTGTTAGTAACTTAATGATCTTTTAAGGTTTTTCTATTAGGATCTACGCGATAACCTTAGCCGAGTCTAGTGCCTTTTTATTGCTCCGAAATCAGTTATCCCACTTCTGTAATAGTTACCCGATACCCTGCTCTTCGACTGTATATATAAAATAAATAGATTTAATATGCCTCTTCTGAGTATTTATAGCGTATCGCTTTTGCGGAAGGCCTTCTAAATAGCGGTGGTTTTCTTGAATAGAGAGAAGGAAGGATAATACCTCTGGGCTTTACGGGCTTTTAAGGCTTTTCGCAGGACCTTTGATTCCCCCCCTCCACGTTGTATTATCACCGACCGAGAGCTGGCCTTAATGAACGCCCTTAAACGCCTGCTAATCTTGAGTCGGGTTCCCTAAATCCTATGCCTGTGGCACGTTAGTATGAACGTGCTAGCTAAGTCTAAAGGCTTTTTCCCTAAGTTAATAAAAACGACCTCTGGTATTAAGCGGTATCCGAAGTTCTGTGCCTTCCTCGCGGACTAGAATTCCCTGATTAATAGCTTTTCGGAAGACGAATTCAATAAATAACTTAAGGCATTCTAATAAGATAGTAAGCACTTAGAAGGCGCTGTTAATTACGCCCTGATAACCTGGATTACACTATTTAAAGAGAAGATTATTCGTTACTGGGTGAATCAGATTCCTAACTTTGGGTATATAATAGTATCTATCGTGGAGTCAGGCTACGTAAGCCTAAAGTCCTTTCTGTGTAGCTCTTCTGGCGATTTAGCTACTGTTTTCTAGAAGCTACGGCTTTACTAGGAGTACCAGAAAAGAGAGATTTTAACCGAGAGGGCACGCCGACAGAATAAGGTGGATTTTACTAGCTTAATTATCCTCTTCTCCTTAGTTCGAAAAAAGGTTATTCCGTAGGCGCTTAAGGCGATCTAATAATAGGTTAAGTTACTGCCTAAGCCTAAGAAGAACAACGATTAACTACCACGCTTAGAGGTAGCCTGCCTGCCCTGCTTAATCCTTACCTCTTACGGGCTGCCCTGCTAGTATATCCTATTTAGCCATTTACGAGATAACGAGCCGTTATAGTTACGATCGATTAATCGGTACTAGTGGTGGAATAGGCCCTTGGACCCCGAGGCAGGTCCTTTACTGGAATAAGCCCTAGCTACGCCCTTAAACCCAGTGGTGATATAAGGTAAAGGTCGGCTAAAAGGAGCCGTTACGATATCTTTAACTAGTCGCGGCCGGGGCCGTGGTAAGACTGGTACTAAGCGATTAGTATTAGCCTTTGAAATCGCAGCTTAAGAGGAGCGTTTAGGGGTAATAACTGCGCCGCCTTTAACTGCACCTCCAGCAATAAATGCGCCGCCTTTAATTACGCCTCTAGTAATTACGTTAATAACTACGCCTCCTTCCTACGAACCGGGAATAGTCGCGCCTCGTGGATACTAACGCGTTATAGAAGCATTTACTAACGAACCGATTAAGGTAGAGGAGGCTCCTGCGGGCTTAGGGGAATATTAAACTAGGTATATTTCTGCCCAGTTTAAGGGCTTTTTCGATAAATAAGTCAGGATTAGAGAGCAGGATCAATAGGCGGCTATTTAGGCTGTAAAGGAACTAGAGGAAATTAATATGTAAATAGCTTCGGTTATGCCTAATTAACGGTGACGTAATTTACTCTTTGCTTAATTGACGAATGTCACTATATCTTTGGATTTATACCGCCTCGGGATTTGTATGTGTTTATTGTGGGATATTCGAGTAAGGGAGTATAGTGGATCATAGCCCACTTTTCTGGGTGCTGGGTATCTAAACACGGGTGCTATTTAGACTTACCCTATATTAGGCATATAGAAAGAAACTCGAACAACCGATCCTCGTGTCTTCTTCTCTCCTAAGCCGAGCTTCAGGCCACAGCAGAAAAGAGAAGCAAATGGCGGACACAACGCAAATTAAGGGATTTTGGCCTCATCGTACCATACTTCTCAGCCGTGACCCATCCTTTTGGATCCGACGGGTGACAAGACGCATCTTCCATTGGACCGTCACACCTCCATCTCCTCATCGTCAACGCCATAACAGGAGGGGAATGAATGGCAGCATCACGGCCCGCGAACGGCCCACTGCAGCATGGGGAAAGTAAAAAGGAACACAAGAGCCTTCACTGTTCTATATTACTGTTGAAAGGCAGAAAAAATCCCTTCCTCACGGTGAACTGCGGGAGGGTTCGTGCAGAATGGCAGAAGAAGTGGTGGACATACCAGATAAAAGGGGGCGGGGGGGCAAAGAGATCAGTAAATACAAGAGATGCAGGTTGCAATGTTGACAGCTCTGCTTGGGAGTTTGTCCTTTACCTCTACTATTCATTTTTCTACAGGACAAATCAAATATCTGCCCAGATTCAAAAGTGTCCTCATATCTCATCCCAAAGCAGAAGAAACCAACAGCAGGTCCAGGTTTGCTTTTCCGAAGGAAGAAAGACAAGGACGAAAATCAGCATGGAGTATGAAGCGCAACCAGACCCTCCCTCTCCCCAACCCCCGCCGAATCCTCCACCAAGTCCGGTCATGTAAAACATGATGCGCCGCGATAGGACGGTTCGGTAAACATATCCCCAGCTCCCCAAGTCTCTCTCTCTCTCTCTCTCTCTCTCTCTCTCTCTCTCTCTCTCTCTCTCTCTCTCTCGCGCGCGCGCGCGCCTTGGAACTATGCTGATTTGTCCTTTTAGAACACCACTGCCGCAGTAGATCGAAATCATTTGCACATCGGAACCAAAAGGCATGTGGCGGTTGAGGGGTAAAAGGGAGCTGGAAGATTGATGAGAATGAGTGCTGGTTGGCGGGCAGCGACGGGGAGAGACTTGACGTGTTAGAGAAGCGCTCCACAGCGATGACATGTAATACACACTGGCGACGACGAGAACGACAGAAAGATAGCTTTGGAAGCAAAGAAGAAGAACCCGGCTTTCCAATACTACAAAAGCCCGGTCTACCTTTGGTTACAATCTGGACTTCCACACCAAACCACCCTTTTCCACGTCGTAATTCTTCCCGCTGTTCCAGCCCAACCACTTCTGCAACACAGCCTCGCCCCCATCACCAGGGCTCAGCGGAATGCCGACGTATCCGCCGCCTGACAGGCCGCTCCCCTGCCCCTGGATCGACGGGTCCTTGACCCCCTCCGCGATGGCCAAGCAAGGCGTCTCCCGCAGCGTGACGGCAGGTCTCTGGTCACCCTCCCGGCCGGCCCGGGCCTCGAGCTCGGGGTACTCCAGCACGGGGGTGCAGCAGGCGTCCGTGCCGTCGAAGATGGCCTCCCACTCGTCCCTGGTCTTGGACCTGAACGTGGCGGTGAAGAGGTCCCGCAGCTCGGGCCACATGGCCCGGTCGTCCCGGCGCGTGTCCCAGCTGGGGTCCAGCCCCATGCCCTTGCGGAGGACGGCGAAGAAGTGCGGCTCGAGCGCGCCGACGGCGACGTAGCGGCCGTCGCGCGTCTCGTAGGTGTCGTAGAAGGGGCAGCCGCCGTCGAGGAGGTTGCGGCCGCGGCCCTTGTCGCCGAGCGGCGTCTTGAGGGCGTACCGCGGGAAGGTGGCTAGGTAGGAGGCGCCGTCGACCATGTTGGCCTCGACGACCTGGCCGCGGCCCGAGACCTGGCGGGAGACGAGGGCCAGCAGGACGCCCTGGAAGAGGGTGGCGCCGCCGCCGGCGAAGTCGGCCAGGATGTTCCAGGGCGGGTGCGGCTTGTCGCCGGACCGGCCGAGGAGGGACAGCGCGCCCGAGACGGCGAGGTAGTTGATGTCGTGCCCCGCCATGGCGGAGTAGCGGCCGTCGCGGCGGAAGCCGGTCATGCGGGCGTAGATGAGGCGCGGGTTGAGGGCGCAGAGCTCGGACGGGCCGAGGCCCAGCTTCTCGAGGACGCCCGGGCGGAACGGATCGATGAGGACGTCGACGGCGGCGGCGAGCTCGCGGATCAGGGCGACGCCCCGCGGGGTCTTGAGGTCAACGGCGATGGAGGCCTTGTGGCGCGTGAGCATGTCCTCGGTCGGGACGGCCTTGCCGCCGCTGGGGGCATGGGTCTGGCCTGGCACGGCGCGGTCGACGCGGAGCACGCTGGCGCCGGCGTCGGCGAGGAGCATGCCGGCGAAGGGGCCTAGAGGGGGAGAAGCACGCGGCGAAGCGTCAGCTTGTCAAGTCGCATGGGAGACAGGAGGGCCGTTGTATCGTAGATCTCGGACGGATTCTCACCTGGTGCTAGACCGGCAAACTCCAGAACCTTGACACCCAACAGTGGAGGTGGGCCGACCATTTTGAACGGTTTGTCTGTCTCTGTCTCTCTGTCTGCCCCGATGCACTGATGCCTTGAAGGTGTCGGTCGACAAGAAGTAAAGGTGGAAGAGGTAGCAGCAGAGCAACAGCAAGAAGAACAGAGAACTGTCGTTGCTTAGGACGGTGGATCGACTACATGACGAGGTCTAAAAGAGACGCGTTGGCCCACCATGTCAAGACATGGATAGAATGGCGGGTAATCGGGCGAAATAGAGCGGAATTGGATACCCGCCTGGACCCTGGGCCTGGGGATGCAGAAGAAGCAGGTGAGGTGAAGGAGATGCCGAGGAACTCAGCGGGGAAACGGCGGAAGAACATGGCGGGGCCGGGATATGTACTCTGTGTTCATATAAACAACACACTGTGCCGAACACTGTGAGTCGATAAGTGATAAGACTTGTGGAGCCTTTGGACAACCTTAGTCATCACCGCCTTCGATTACTAAGCCATTTACATCATAAGCATTGTGAAGCCATTTGCAAATGTTCAACTTGAACTTCCTCAGCTGTCAACCCCGATACCACCTCATCCCACCTCCCCCGACGCCACGACACCCCCTTAATTACGCCTTCACACGCATCAGCTGGACCTCTCGCCAATCATGCCGCCCAAGCGCATGACGGCCAACCCGGTGAGGCCGGCTCGCCACCGACCGGGCAAAGCCACCCTCGACGAAGACTCGTCCTCCGACGAAGATGCTGCCAGCGAAGACGTCCAAGCCGACGAGGAACGCACCATTCCTCCACCACCCAAGGCCACAAGTGCAGGCAGGATTGCCAGCACCAATCTGCGCAATGTCGACCTCGCCCAGCGGCAACGGGAAGCAGAAGAGAGGAGGCTAGCCAGAGAAAAAGCCGAACGACTCGCCGCCGAACAAGGCTTCGTCACGGAGGGGGAAGAGGAAGAGGAGCAAGACGGAGAGGACGAAGAAGAAGCAGACAGCGACGAAAACGAAGACGAAGAAGAAGAAGAAAGCAGCAGCAGTGAAGAGGAAGCCCCGCGCCGCCTCATGCTCCGCCCGAAATTCATCCCCAAAAGCCAACGCGCCGCCATGGGGAAACCGGCACTCACGACCGCCCAATCCGCCGAAGCCGAAGAAGAAGCCCGCAAAGCCGAAGAGGCCCGCCGGCAAGCCCAGCGCGACGCCCTCGTCGAGGAGCAGATCAAGAAGGACCTGGCCGCCCGCGCCGCCAACCGGACGAAGAAGCACTGGGAAGACGCGGACCCGACGACGACGCGGGGCGAAGGCTCCGACGCAGCAGCCGGCGGCTCCGACATGGACGTCGACACCAGCGACGACCTGGACCCGGAAGCCGAGGAGGCGGCCTGGCGGCTCCGCGAGCTGAAACGCGTCAAGCGCGAGCGCGACAGGCTGGCGGAGCGGGAGGCCGAGATCGCGGAGCGGGAGCGGCGCGACGCCCTGACGCAGGAGGAGCGCGACGCCGAGGACGCGGCCAAGATCGCGCGCCAGCGCGAGGAGAAGGACGCGCGCGGCAAGATGGCCTACCTCCAGAAGTACTTCCACAAGGGCGCCTTCTTCTCCGACGAGGCGGCCGCGCACGGGCTCGACAAGCGCGACCTCATGGGGTCGCGCATCGCGGACGATGTCAAGGACCGGAGCGTCCTCCCTGCGTACCTCCAGAAGCGGGATATGACCAAGCTGGGCCGCAAGGGCGCTACCAAGTACAAGGACCTCAAGACGGAGGATACGGGACGCTGGGGCGACTTTGGCGACGAGTGGCGCGGGAGGGACGGGGGTAGGAATGGCGGCAGGTTTGACGGCCGCTTTGGCCATGTCGACGAGCGCTTCCGGCCTGATGGCGGTGGCGGCGGGGCCCTCGGTCGGGGCGAAGAGGACAGGAGCGGAAAGGGGTCCAACGCTATCCCGTTGGGGGAGCGCAGGGCGGGGGCTCCTGGCGGCCGGGAGAGGAGCAGAAGCCGCAGTCGGGATCGGGATCGTGGGAGCCGAGGGGACACCTACCGCCCTTCAAATCGCAGTCGAGATGCGGATCACAGGCGGAGAGGCAAGTCGAGATCAAGATCAAGGTCACGGTCAAGGTCACGGTCAAGGTCGAGGTCTCCACCGAGACGGAGAAGAGACTCGCGGGAAGACCGGGACCGGCGGAAACGGAGTCCGTCTCCTGGTAGAGACAGGGACGGATACCGTGAAAGTGACAAGCGGCGGAAGGTGGATGTACGTTGAGTCGTGAAAAGGACACAGAAGATATCATAAATGTACAATACAACACTGCGAGCGCGGGAAGCCGCTTGCTCTTCGATTCTAGATACCCTTATTGCACCGACCTAAAGTGACGAACCAAACTCCGGCCCATTTTCCTGTTCTCATTTTAAATTTCACGCATTGCTGATCTCTATATTCTCGTAATCTCTACGCGCGCCCTGTCAAAGAGACGATGGCTCAGCAAGCCTCCGCTCCCTCCTCTTTCCAAGGACGGGGGATATAGTGTCATCCGCGCATAGGTGCCTGCACCGCGTCTCTTGGAGAGGGTCCCTGGGTTGATGACCAGTACGCTCTCGATGACCTGGGTTCTCTCGTCAGGTCAATCTCTCTCGTAAAAGAAGAGAAAAGAAAAGAAAAGAAAAGAAAAGAAAAGAAAAGAAAAGAAAAGAAAAGAAAAGAAAAGAAAGACTCACCTTAGCAAAAGGAGGAAGGAAGCTCGGCACAACCATCACATCCGGCCGCACGTTCACCATCTCGCCAAGCTTCAAATAGCTCACATCAAGCATTGCACCAGGCGGGACCGCCTCCGCCGTACCCGTCCGCGGCAGCCGAGACCGGTCCGTAGCGGGAAAGAGCGGGAAATAATGGCGCTGCTCAAGGAGGTAGCGACACAGCCGAGAAAGCGTGACGGGGTCGCGCGGCGGCGCGACGACGAGCTCCTCGTGGCGCAGCTCCCACAGGATATCCTGCGACGAGAGGCCCAGCACGGCCTCGTTGAGCGAGACGGTCATGGGGTTGGAAACGAAGCGGGCCGCCTTGGGGAGGCCCAGCTCGCGCCGGGCGGGGGCGTCCTGCGGCCAGGAGACGTGCTTGTCGATCACGTCGCGCACGGACGGGACGAGGAGGATCGAGACGCTCGGGTTGGCGGTGGTGAGGCGGTGGAGGGCCGGGGCGAAGAGGTGCCGGAAGACGGTGTTCATGGTGGCTGCGTCCTGCTCGGATTCTGGGATCGGAAGGTCGAAGTCGCCTGTGGCGATTAGGGGGTGTTCTGCGTCTATGAAGGGGCCTATGAGCACTACGACGTCGACCAACGTGTCGGCGGCCTGGCTGCAGAGGGCGTGGAGGGGCTCGAAGTCGAGGTTGTCGTCGGCCGTGTACGGGCCTGCGGCGAAGAGAACGTTCAGGGGAGGCGGATCGGAGGCGGCGTCGTCGGAGTCCATGGCGTCGGGATCGCCGCGGAGTCTGGTGCGGTGGGAAGATAACGCGTCCGGCGTGGAGGCGGCGTTCGGGAGAAGGGGCAGCTCGAGGATCTCATCGACGACGAAGGCGTGGCCGGAGGAATTGATGCCGCGCAGGGCCACAATCTGCCCTGGGAAGAAGCTATAGCCCCGGACTTTGGCCATGTCGAGTGCGACCCGCTGGCCACCACCCGTGCGGCGGGATGTCTCGAGCACGAGGGAGGCGGCGTTGAGCTTGCCCTCGGGGGAATCAGAGGCGATGCGGCCGACGGCGATGACGGGGGTCGTGCTCTGCTGGGCGGCGCTCCCAAAGGCGGAAAGGTCCAGGTTGTGGTGTTCCAGGGTCAACTGGATGAACTCGTCTATCCTGTCGTCGAGAATCTCGGACGCCTCGGACAGCTTCATGGCCATGGGCTTGTAGGCGAGCTTCTTTTGGTCGGAGGCTGCGGTCAACTTGATACGGGACTCGGGGTAGGGGCATATCGGTGGCTTGGGTGGTTGGAGATGGTCGTTGAGGACTTCGATGACCTCGCCGGGGGTTGGGCGGTCGTTAAATGATGACGGGCTGCGAATCGGCTGGTCAGAACCAGTGAAAGTGAAAAGTGATCCTGGGTGGCAAGCAAAAAGAAGAACTCACACCTGCATAGCATTCAGCTGCTCCTCCATCCGAGAAGGCGTCTTATAATCTGGCGAACTGCCCACAAGATCCCCCTTGACTCGCGACATAGACGGCGTATCGTACGGGTTCCTCCTCGCACTGCCAACCTTGCTCAACCTACCAGTACCCAACCCAGACCCCGGCGTATTGGGCACCAACCCATCAAGCATGCCAAACACATCGCCACGAGCGGCAGCAGCGCGCGGCGTAGCACCCACCCTCTTCTCCGTCTTGATCTGCACCTGCTGTTGTCGAGTGGATTTCTCCAGGTGATCCTGTATGTCCCGCTTGAGACCACGGACGGTATCTAGAGACATCGTGGCGGCGTCGAGGTCCAGCTTGATGCAGTACGACTCCCACTTGTAGAAGAGGTCCTCGGCCGAGATGTCGTGCAGACGCATGATGGACTGCAGCTCGGCCAGGACATTGGGATCGAGGGGTTCGGTTCCCGAGGCGAAGCGCTCATTGAGCTCTGCCTCTGTTTGAGACATGATGAAAAAATGCCGTTTCGGGTAGAGTTCGCCCGTCGCGTAGGGGTTGTTGATAGATACCGGACCCGAGCCTCTGGTGTGATGTGAGGCTGAGCTAATGTTGGAGGAGAGGATCTCGAAAGTGACGACGATGATGCTGTGAATTGAGGT